GGAGAAAGAGGTATTTGAAGTTTTGAAAATGTTTAAAGTGTTGCAAAATTTCATGTTTTTCTCCCTTGTTCTTTACAGTTAACATTTCAGCGTGCACAACTTAAGTCAGAAAGTCTAACAAAAGTGACGCAATATATATTGGCATACTGCTTATTGGCATATATTCGAGGAATAGTGCAATACTTCTTTGTCCATCGGGTCTGTTTTAATTTCTCGACGTTCATACCTCTTAATGAATACGTCCCTGCATATATCAATTATCCTCCTCGTTGATAAGAGCTTTATCACAACACGTATCATAGTCATCCTTTATGAATGAATGTAAATATCATCTCAGCTGATATGATTGCGACAAGTTCTTCGAGGTATCTCTTTGTTGCTTTATTACCAATAATAATTATTATCTACCATTCGCTGTGGAACAATGATTTTCCGTGAGCGCTGAATGAAACAAACAGAGCGGATAATTGCTTCCATATCTATTGCTGGCCACATGTTCTCCCCTTACTCCGTTTTTCCTTTCTTTCCTAAGCCATGATATATCATTGAGCCACTTTTTACTTTTTTCCACTGGATATCGAACATTTTCGATATTCTTTTTCGAATCAATGACCATTCGTCTCGATGTATGCTCCATTAAGCCCTGGTTTTATTGGCCACTACTGCCTTAGTTATTCATTTGAATAGGTAGATCAGATACCTTTCGCATAAAATGAATCAAATTGCAACGTTATTGGCGATATGGTCGAAATTCACAATTAAAACTGTCAACTAATGAAATGTCAACTAATCCTCCATTAATAATCTATAACAATCATTTACCTGCCATTTACTATATCAGCCTATTAACAGTCTATATGAAACAGATATCAATCCTTTGAAGCGTTCAGTATATCACGTTAAAATAAAAAAAGCATAACTTCAGACTTATCAATTCCTTAAGGTATATTAACAGCCAATAATGTGAGAAAGATTTAAATCTCCAAGCCATAATAATTAATACTTCAGTCCATTAATCAAATTTAATTGTTCAAAAAAATCACTTCATTATTTCAATTCTTCTAAAATTTAAGGCAGTCATTTTTTTGATGAATTGTTTAAGCCACTGTACAGTTCTATTGTAGCCCAAACCGCTTATATTTTTTCTTGATCAATTCTATTGTAATTCAAAGCACTTATATTTTTCCTGATAAGTGAAATAATGATATGATAAGACAAAATGGAGAGAATAGCATAATATTGTGAAATGCAACTTAACATCTTGAATGAAAAGAATGCAATAAATTAATGAAGAAGTTATAAATAATTTCAAGTTTTCTGATAATAATTTTAAATTTTGTGGAATAAAATTGATTGACATAGCAGTTGGACCCACTTCACTCTTATTGATATTAAAGGAGACGTGCACTTATTAATACTTAAAATTCCCTATAATTATAATGAAGACTGGTTGGTTGCTCGGTCGATTTACACAGAATATATTTATATCAGTCACGCTATTCTTTATTATATGTAATTATTTCCCATTAGTGCCTTTCAAACATAAAGGGGCACTTTTTCCATAAGAAACTGTCTTTGAAATTTTATTTTCATTCTGCTGTAAATGCTTTGTTGAACAATTAAAGCTATGCACACTGTATCATTCGCTATACCACAATGATTTTATATCTGATGCAATTCGAAATTTGCATCTGTTCAATTATTGGATCAAGATACGATTGGTCTCAAATCGAAGAAGGAGTCGCTAGGGATTTACTTTCATCTTGATTTAATTTTTGCCACTGCAAAACTTCCTCTACTTGATATACCAATCTCTTGTCATCCCTTTGTGATGCCTTTTATTCTTAGCAGTGAGTGAACAGCTCAGTCTATCATTAGTCAATACTAAATGCATTAATCTTAACCCAGTTAATATTCACCAAAACTATCCTAGATCCATTTTTTCCCAGTCCGTTTGAATAATGCTTATAATGGCATCGTGCGGTGATGTGACTTTCGAATCAATTCTAAATATTTCAGTTGCAAAATTCTTACCTTAAAATACTGAAAGTGATTGTTGATTAAAATACACTTTAAACTTGAAAATTATCGATAATATATAATTTTTTTATTTCATATGGGCAAAATATGAAGTGGAATGCTATTCCAAGAATGGAATATTTAATAAATTTTAGTAATTCATGGAAGAATTGATTGTGAAATGAAAATGCGAAAGCATGAACATGTGGCAAAGATAGTGCGTAAATAATTACCTCACTTTAATTAAGATGGCGTTGAAAGTAACTAATGAAGCTTATTCATATACTAACATTACTGCATATCGGGAAGATAATCGGAAATTGGAGCATTCATTGGCAAATAATGTCCGAGTGAAGTATACGGACAAATAAGTTTACAGCTAGTAACTGTACGGAACGTCAAATGGACAATAAGGAAACATAAAGAATGGCCCTCTATTTCTACGGGATAAACAAGATTATACTTGGATCATAAAGAAAATGACTAATAGTTCGTTCGTTAGTCGCAAATTAATGGAATCACTGAGTGCAAATAAGGTCAATTATCCAAATTGGGAAGAATGTTTATCATTTATGATATTCCGATGAATAAGTCATAAAATGGAAAATTGAAAACTAACAATTTTCAGTGTAGACGCATCGTCGTGCCCATTCATTAAAACGTGCGGTGAATTTATGCACTGATACAATTTCGAAGCAGAATTGCGCATGGATGATATCGAACTGATAACATGGCAGTTCGAGTGCTTGCTGTGATAACTCTTGAAAGATGAAGTTAATCAATCTTTTCTATTATTATAATTAAATATTTTAAATGAAATACTAACGCGACATCCTTTAATCTTTAATTTTATGGCTCTTGCAACTTTATGCAACGCCAATTGGATTTCTAATTCCCAGCATATGCGAGCAAAGCTTTTGAAATAAAATGATTGAAAATTTATAAATCGTAGCCCTCCAAGGGACAAATATCTTAATGATATTTTTTAAAGTATATAGTAGACATTTACATTATTTAAGCAAGTTTAGATGTTTTTAAAAATGAATCTTTGAATGTTCTATCTGTCTACTCAAAAAAACAATGATTTTTTAAGTATATAATACATGTGCCTTTTACCGACAACCCAATGAAATTCAACCGCATTTATACAGGAAAGCTTCCGGTCATTCTGTGCAATCTAACCTTTGCATAAGGTCACATTTCCCTCAAACTGTAATAATTTCAATAATAAAAATTGGTATAGAAAAATAAAATTCCACAAAATTTCTATTTGTTAACGAAAATTCACCGAAATTAAACGTAAAACAATGTAAATTTGATTGATAATTATATAGCAAAGGATCAAAGATTAAAACGTTAGTAATAAAGAGGGCAGAAAGGTAAATTGATCGTAGCAACGTGAAAAGGTTCGCTGCCAATGACTGATTTCTCTTTGCTTATCGGTAATGTATAAGATTTAATCGAATCAAAGAAAGAGAATTAACGGAGACTTTTTTTAGATGCAATGCGAAGTTTAGTCATTTTGTTGAAAAGCTTTCTGAATCTATGCTACCTTTCTTCGTTTGACAGTCGACGCTCTATTCTGGTCAGAAGCGATAAATGCCTCATTTCATGGGTTTTACTCGTTCAAAATCAATATTTAGGAAAATTAATCCCTAAATTGCGTGAATGAAGAATTGGTGGACTTCCTGTCCTTCTCCAATTTGCACCAGGTGATCACAACTGTACTACCTATCTAATTTGTGGTGTTGCTTATACTTATACTTGCAGAAAGTTGCATGATCGATTTCGGTATGATTCCATATAGAACTAAATTTTGAACTTAAAATTGAACAAGTCCCTTTCTCTAATGTCCATAAAACGAAATAAAAATAAAAGAGAAAAAAATTTAATCTTATGAATTTGTTGTTAAATACTAACCGATATCGTATTCTTCCATATAGTATGACTGCTCAAAACTGTATCCTTCCGGAACAGCAAAAACACGCATTTTGAATTCTAAATCCTGGACTGGACATGATAAATTAGTCCAAGTTATTTTCAAGTAATCGAAGCAATGAGGGAAGATATACGGCCTTGGCAAGCTTATTGAAATTTCATTTGTTTGCTGCAGCTTAATTGCTTCGATTACCTGCAATAATGAAAATGGAACTATAGTGGTAATTTAAAGAAAAACTAGTTCTGTAGATGGACTTAATAATTTTGATGGTTACGATGACCTAAAATGAGGAAATGTTCCGCCGTTTCATTTCATATTTTAGGTTAGAATTGGATGTATTAAGATTGAAAACTAGAAAGATGAAATTCGATTTAGCCATAGCCTAAAACTGCCAAAATCATTGGAAATGGAACGGTTTTACAAAATTTATAACAATAGAAAAAGAAATTGATTGGAAAAAGAAAAAGTGAAATATAATGATCAACTTTGTGACAAATGGAAGCAATTAGTAATATTAAAATGCGATACAAATGGTTATTTGCTTAAATTTTCATTGAAAAGAAGGCTGTCAGCTTTTTTTTTATTTTCCCTTCTCTTTTAAAAAGGGAAAATTCAATAAAGAGAGCACCGATGCGTATCTATCTGTCATTTATTTCATTTATAGTAAAGTGTCTCTTTAAGTGCAAAAGAAGAGGAAGCTTTTAATTAGCCGAAGATTGCATTCTTTGCAAATCTGACACTGTCCATTCAGTAATGATGACAGAATGATGTTTATAAAGCTTGACATTCAGAGCTTAACACATTTCAATTCCGGATAAGGACACATGCTCACGATGATGTTTGTGATGGTCTCGAAAACTTTTCGAAAAGCTTGAAATAAGTCAAGAATATGCTGTCTTACATTAATTTGTTTAGGGAAAGCCAAACATCAAAAACACGTCGATAAAATTTTAGGACGCATTTATATTTACTATTAAGCTGTAAATTCGAATTCTTAATTACCTTGCAATTAATAATTAATTTGAAGAATTAACAATAACATGAAAGTAATCATACTAACCTGTACAATCCATCTACCATTCATTATGACAATTCTATAGATTCCTGGAAAGCATAAATTATAGCAAGGAAATATTACTTTTCTTTCCAGTGGCATTTCAGCATCAGTTTTAAATTTCAATTCATAGCTCTTTCCAGTGTTTATTGTGGATGAAGCGTATTGTAAATGCAGCGATAAATTGAGCCCACTACAGAAAATATTAGAATCAAATTCTATCACAAATGGTTGACAAATAATTGGATTTTCCGGAATTTTCCAAAACTTTTTCCCGACGATAACCGAAAATTTAAAGATTGAAATATTATCAATTAGCAGTTCATAGTGATCAGATGGAAATCCAAAGCATCTACACGGAAATATTGCATTTCCTATCGCATTGAGTGAACAGAGAGAACGATTCATATGACGAATTCGAAGAAAACTTGCTCGAGGACTGTGAAAAGACACCGCGGTGAATAGAAGGATTTCACGAGGAAATATAAATTCTTGCGATAGATTATTGCTTGGCAGATCAATTCTATTAGCAGAAATTGTTCGATCAGTCAATACAAATAAAATTGAAATAAGACACAGAAATGCAAGAAGCATAACAGGACATTCACAGAATAGAAATAGAAAGAGTTCAACAGTTGTGAACGTAAAGAGTAAATATGTAAAAGGTAGAGGTGAGATGACATCTTAGCGCCATCACTTTCGTTTCGGAAATCACTGAAATGAGTGTTTTGAAGTGGAATAATGACGCAAATCTATCATTTTGTTAATAGAAATGATTTATTTCTACGTTATAACATTAATCTTAACTTTTGCAAAACTGTTATCAATTTAAAACATCATAGAATTGTATTTGTTTCACAAAAATTAGTTGTTAGAATCAGAGCCATTCCTAGAAAAGGAAAAAGAGCATCAAAAGCCAACAGGTTGAAAGTTCAAGAACTAACAGAGTAGAAACCTTTTACCGACAACGTCAGTACATAATTTGCCGCAAATACTGCGTGAGCATTAGCTGTTGAGATGAGGCGAAATGTCCAGAACAGCCAACAATCGAAGAAAGCCTATTTCTAAAGGCCACTTCACAACTCTATGACCGTAGTAAGAAAGCTTTCCCTCAGCCTATTAAATGGGTTATTTCCTTGCACATTTTCAATAGATCTCTGCATTCCTAACTTTCCTCCTGAAAAAGAAAAGGGAATGGAAAAGATGGAATCTTCAGATGACATTTCATCCAATGCTGATCAACGTCGATTATTTTGTCAGAAGCAAGCAATTAATCGATATATGCTAAATTATGCGATATACATGAAAGCATTTTCAGCTTTCTTGACTAAGTGATACTGTTAATGATAGAATGATTAGGCGACATCATTTGTCACTATCATCAAATCGCTGTTATTTCCAAATACCATCAGAAAATATATCGATTAAATTTCATAGCAAAACATTGGAATGGGTCAAATAATCAATTTAAGCAAATTTCATATTACGATAAATTAACTGAATTTTTTCCAGCAAAAAATTTCTCCTTTCTTTAAAAAATTTTGAATTTAAATTCATCAATGATAGCCGGGAAATCATCATGAATCTATTTATTAAGAAATAAAAAATGGAAATGTTTAATTCTGTAACAGTGAAGGTGCTGAAAGAATAAATTCTGAAATGGACAAATCGGTCAAAATGAGAGAGAGAAAAGAGAGAGTAGTTTAATTACATGCCAGTATCAATTGCTTCTCCTATGCTAAGTGGGAGGGACGAGATATCATAAATTACAATTCAGTTGAATGAGATTTTTCAAATCAATCAAATGCACCCAAATTTAACTACTTTTTATAAATGATGTAAATAACCGCAAGAAATCGATAGATCCAATTTAAGCATATAGTTTTATTTATGTGTCATATTGAAGAATCGAAGCGCAATTTTCCTCTATTTAATTCATCGATGGAATTATTCGCAAATTACTCTAGAAATTACAGCATAAAGATAAGCTATCAAAGAGAACTGTCCTGAAGTGAACTTTCAAAACACTCTGTTTCATCCGTTTCATATAATTAAAATGCGGTTCACTTATTTTTGATGATAAAAATGGCGGAGAAGTCCCTCTGCTTTTACTTCATTCAGTTAATGGTGGATGGCTTGTAATATTGTCGTTGGTGATGTTTTCACTTCGAATACGCAAAAGATGGAAGTTATAATGCATATTCCTTGCTTGGGACAACACATCGATGTGACACCGTGGACAGAGGGAAATTTTAGAATATTTTCCTATTTAAGCAGGAAACAATGTGGGTCGAATAGAGTAAGATAAGGAATAATGAGGCCATTAATAAAAAGTGGTAGTGAATGTTTGATCGATAGGACACATAAACAAACTATTAGATATTCAATCCCATCTCTTGCTTGGAGATCGAAACAATTAGTTCACAACAATCTAAGAGAAGAATGGACAAGCGGAGGAAGTAGTGCATAATGCAAGCTTCTGTCGCTTCTACTTAAATGAACATCAGTGGGTACTGGGTGCAGAGATAAGAGGGTGAGATTGGATAAAAATTAGGTGACAAATTAATTGGATTACGAACGCAGAATATATCCCCATCCATCTAATTACCATTATCGCCTCTCATTAATTAATCCATTGTCGGGGAGTTTCAGATTTTAAAATTGATTTGTGAAATTTATCTTGATTTAATTCCTAGTATAATATTGTATAACATATTATTTACAATTTAAATCAAACATCCGGAGACCAATTCAAACTATTGGTTACGATGATGATACTTGGCAAATGAAAAATAAACTTCATTATCTTAAAAGTAAATAGTTGGAATGTGAAACAAATGCTTATTACAAATTAAAAAGCATACCATTCTAAACTATTTTTATAATAAAATTATAAATAAAATTGATGAAGTCATTGTTTTAAGGAGTCAAATGCTTTTAAGTTTTCTTTTTGACGTTATGAACTTTGACATGCATATTTTTGCCCAACTTTTTATCAAATTGTTTTAAAAAAAGGCAAGAACAAACTGAAGAGGCCTAACTATAACAATTAGTGGATAAAAGCCTCAACAATAAAGCTACTGCGATCAATATATTTGGAAATGTTTTTTGCTCAGCCACTGAATGTTTCTATCCTCTTTTTCTTCAACATTTTTAACTTAATTTGAACATCCATCTATTCATTCATTCCTATAAGTTACATCAACGCTAATTATTAATTAAGGAATCCATGTAATCATTAATTATTTTAGGTTTTGTTTAATCACTGATGAAGTTTTAAGGTTTTTATTAGAGAAAGAAAGGAATGACAGTCTCTATTCCTCATTGATTTGAGAATAACAAAAATAAGACGATTTCAAAAAAGTCAGCGGATTTCAATTATTGGAACAATCAACGAAGTATTACACGCAATAAATAATTATGATTACATTGCGATGATTACTTCACATTCAAATTTGAACACATTATATTTGTCAAAACGTCGTGCTTTTCCACACATATCAGTTAATTAGCTAATCAGTTAATAATCATATGACAAAATATTCGCCGCGCATTGAGAAGTGCGAAACACTAAAATTTGACAATGAATCGATGTGTTGCTGCTATATAGAAGTCTTATTTTGTTTTCTTTATTCTGTTAGCAAAAAAATATAAAAAAACAAAAGTTAACAAAGATGCTAACAAAAATTACAGTTGTAAAATTGTTGATAAGATAATAACTTTTATCTTTCAATTAATCATAACTGAAACCTATCGATATATTATTACATACTGATAGCATTTATTCTTCTTATCCTATTTTTTCTATAAATAAAATATGAAATGGTCAGATAGTTTTGAAGCCTTTGATTTATTTTGAAGGAAGCATTAAATTCTTATAATAATTTTTATTTGAAGCAGTAATTTTAAAGAAATGGCTTTCACTGGAAAAATAGCTGATTCACTTTTCATATGATAGACAATATTTTGGCACAGTTCAATTCGGAAGAGGGAAAAATACAAAACCATTCGATGATCAGTGATAATTTTACGCATTCGCCAGTTCAATCAATTTTCAGGATCTAACATCAACGATTTTCCTTTCCTTTCAATGCTTCATAGATTGTTCTATAAAAAGAAATTTTCAGAATAAATCTTTTTTCCGTATGATGATATTTTAGAAGTATATGCGATTGGTTTATGATTTCAATGAATGAATAATTAGAAACGTTTTTGAAGAATTAGTCCATATGAATTTTTACAATAGCCATTTCAATTTTCATGCTTCCTAATATGCGAGATTGCGAGTGTAATTCCATACATTGAAAATAATTAATAAATTAATTGTTAGTAAATTGTTTCAATAAATTAATTGTTTTATAAATTAATTGGCAATAAACTGTTTTAATAAATTAATTGTTTTCAATGTATAGAATTACACTCGCAATCTCATATATTAGGAAGTATGAGAAATGATGCCAGCAAGTTAGATTTAAATTTAAATTTAGATTACTATTTCCTCAAGCAGAACAACTTGTTTATTAGTTAACTTTTATTGCGAACTGATAAAGAAATGTTAGATCATGTCAAATGACTTTTTATTAAATGGCTTTTTCAAATTTTTATCCTATTCCATTCAAATGCCAATTATTGTTATTTTTGCGAACTTATTCTTATCGTCTTTCCCTTCGTTCCATTTTCTTTCTATCGTTTAACATTTTTGTTAGCTTTTCAAATTATCGCAAAGTATTGAAGGATATTTAGATCAAGAATTGTTTCAGTATGGATGGAATTAGTCCTGGATTATTGCTACTATGCGATTACATAAAGAATTTAATTAACTTTAGCCTCAGCTGTTCTGATTTTATTTCACATTGCGATGAAACTTTATGAAATAGAGACAACATTAAGAAATCTTGACCAATCTATCAGCAACGAATCTCTTTGCACTTTTTAACTGAATTGTTTCATTAACGGATGACGATATATTTAAAGATAACAGATAATATTTCTTCTTTGGCACACACACACACACGGAAAGTTTACTTCAAGAAGTTACTTTATGGTAAAATCTTTATTTATCGTTTTGACTTTGATGTTAGCCACGAAATGATTACTTCATGAAATAAAAAATGTTACATTGTCAAAATTGATAGGCAGAACTTCAGTGAGTAGCATTTTGGTTTTGCAATTTCGCTTATCAGTCAAACCACCTGATATCTTCAGTCAATCCGATAGAAAGCAGTCTTACGCTTTTTTATAACTTTTTTTGAAGAGAATTTTGCCAATTGTTTTATCTAATGATTTGCTGACAGTAGCTTTTCTAGTTTAATTTTAATAGTGAAGACTGAAGAGGTTATAGTTTGGCATTTCAATTGTAAAATTATTGCTACCAGCTGCACCTATATTCCATCACTCATACAAACTATGTGCAGTCTATGTCTATTATCTCTCATTGCTTTACTAAATTTGTATTGGAAACTTTGTTGTGGCATCAGATTGAGTAGTGATAAATTGATCTGGAAAACAGTTGCACTGCCACAATATAAAAAGAATCAGAACATAACTTTTAGGGAAAGCTATGATTATAATAATGTTGTAAAATCTGTCTCATTTTTTGTGTGCCCAATTCCAGCACTTAGATAACGTTCATCAAATACATTCACTACCTACCTATATTTAGAAATTATAAAACGCTTCTTAGTATTATTGGGAATCCATTTGGGAACATTTCTCAGTTCAATACTCTAAGTGGATAGCGAATAAAACAAACTAATTAATTAAATTTTTGTTATCACATTAAGAAAAGAAAGAACTGAATGACGAGTAAATCCTTATTTCATCTACCATTTCAGAATTTTCAATCAATTGATGTGATCAGACATTTATATTCATTTTTTATTTTAAATATATTACTAAAATATATGAAATAAGAACAAAGGTAATTTCGCACTGATGACCATACAATTAATGATGATTCATTTCCAGTCCTATCCCAATATTGAAATATTTAGCCATAATCGTTAGTCATAAATACATCGGATCATCATAGGATTGTATGATAACGCTTAGAGTAGCAACTGGATGATTTTCATCAACAATATCATATTCCAGAGATCGCGTATCATTATCAACATTTTCCATAATGCGTGCTACACCCAAAGTTCGACCATGAATTGTTCCATCTTCCACTAATTCTATTGAAAACTTGTGAGTCATACCTCTCCTAAAATCATTATATAATTGCAAGATATAAATAAATGGTTATTCAAATTATATATAATTTTAATACTGAATATAGTAAAATGTAATTCCTTGAAGTTTCAAACAACTCCTGCTGATCATTAACAAAAACTAATGACAACAAAGTCAGGGACTGTTTTTGAACCAACAGTTATGTACAACTATTGTAATTTGATTGTCCAGTTAATACATAAACTTTTTTCCTTTATAGAAAAGGAGAAGTCATTATCAAGTTATAAATTTTACTCATGATATAGATAGATGGTGTTGAAATCAAACCTATAAAAAATGAAGCATTGGTTCCAGAAGACTTTGGTACCTTCAGCTGTTCTCGTTCGTACTGATTCTTTACCGCAATTGATAATAACATATGTACGTACTGCTGTAATAATAGAAAATTAGTTAATCTCTCATGTGTTATTGCAATGCGATATTGTAAATTTGCGAAAAATAATATCGTGCAGAAAACATTATGTTAGCAAACAGAAAGTGTACATAACAATTAGTGAAGAAGTTTACGTAATGAAACGAGTTTTTAATATGCAAATGTTTGAATTATAATTCAAAGATTCTTCCACCGACTTGTAAATATCTGAATCAAAACTAAAGTAATTTAAACAATGGTGATTATTTGATAAACCAAAATATTATTCTTAATTTAAAAACTGTCTAAATTTGATTTTACTCAAAAGATTAATAAACAAACCCTCAGTTTTGTTATTCAATTTCGCGCCAACAACAGTAATTCGAGCAACAGAGTTCACTTTCTTACAAGAACGTAATCCTCGACCGGGTGTATCCCGTTTGAGTTCTCGAGGAGCGACATTTCGTTCCGAATAAATTCGAAGCAAAAATTTAGCGAATTCGCGGGGTGCAAATGTTGTAGGAAATAGAATATAACGTCCCTGTCGCAAATTCTGAATGTGTAAGCACACTGAACGACCGTAGTTATAATCTGATGTTACCTCAGGATTTATCGCCTGGAAAGAAATACGTCTTTTTTGCAAACTTATTTACTTTTTCAAATAAGCTAAGCGTTCCTAAATTTCAAATTACTTGAAAATCAGGCATATACTCTGAATAAACTGAAATTATTGATATATCCATTATTGAAATAATCTTCGATCATACATTCTCCACTGCATTGCAATCGGTTGTGCAAAAAAGTTATAAATGAATTTTCAACAATAATCATTTAATCTTAAACTTTAGCTAACAAATGAGAAAATAACCTTCTGTAATTTTTGTAAAAAAAATGATTATTCCTGAAGACTTTACAACTTTAATTCTCAGATAATTTATAATTGAGGAATGAAATAGCAACCTGATGTATTCTATAGATCCGATTATCTTCTACTCTCATCAGATGCATACCAACAGTAACCAGGGGTTCACGGTTTTTCTCACCCTCATTCTTCAATTTCTGTGTTAATGAAAATCGCACTTCAGAACCGTCAACATCGATATCAAATCGATACTGAAATTAAACTCATTGATCAAATCTAAAATTGTGGTACTCGGTAATCCGACCTCATTTTATCAATCTGAAATGAATTCGTGATTAACAATGATAGGCAAAGAGTTTTTCTTTGCAGATTATTGGAAAATTAAAAAAATTTGGTTTTGTGAATGCATTAAAGTGTTTTGGCTTATATTAAAAATTAATGTTAGAAATAAATTCATATTAATAAAAAACAAATTCATCCAGCAACTCAATGTAGTACTTCCTCCAACAATAAGAAGTCTGCAAGATGAATTAAGTTTAAATGATCTTCCTGAAATAAAAGTACATGAATCTCCACTCTAACTAAACTGTCGGTGATTGTATATTTGACTAAATGAAACAATTCTGCACCTTTCATATATTTCATATCACATTTATCGCAACAGAATTGAGTGTTAAATTATCGTCATCCTTTAATTCCACTTAAAATTTCAGCTCTCAATGCTATCATGAATTTTTTAATAAATTCGACGAAGATCTTTGAAGGAATTTCATTTTTAGATATCAAAGAAAATGTCGAAACCTGTGGATTGCAGCAAAATGTTGCCATGAAATTGATACATCCACCCGCTCGATCATTTCGTGCGCCTTGTTTCGCTCCATTTGATTTCCATTCGCCGAAAAATTTCCATTCATAAAATTTAGTGCCAAAGTTGAACAACGAGGTATTGAAAGTTTGACATACGCTGAGATCCGTAAAATAACGGGTAAATTCATTCCATGGCATCCTACAAATCCGGTAAATCTTGATCATTTGCGGGCATTAAAATTCCTATAGATTATTGCACATATAAGCGAATTAACAATAGCAGTAGTAGTATCAAAGTTCATACTTTGAGAAGTTTCAAACAAGTTGATAATATTTATCATAAGTCCCTTATGATTGCCTACAAACACTTTTAGAATGCTTTCATTGCTCATCATAATCAACAAGTAATCAAATGATTTAAAAGAAAAGCGGAAATAAGTACCAAAATTCGCCATCTTCCTCAACCGTAATACCGAGTTCCTTTTTATGTGCATCTGTTATCTAAAAAATCCTTACTGTTTTTCTCAAAGTACGAATTTTCTGAAATAAATCCGTTCCTATTCAAAATCATATAATTTCAAATTTTTCAAAAATCGGTTTTTGAAGTTATTCTCATGACATAAATTAAGTAACAGTCAGTCATAAATTAAACAACACTGAAATACAGAATTAAGATTTATTGAGCAACTTTAAAAATGTTGCGAAGACATACTATTGAAAATCAGTGACTTAATATTAACTCCTAAAAATCAAATCAATTGGAAAATGACCTAATGTTCAGCATATCACATACTTGAAAGCAACTCGCCGACGATTTCTTTAGTAATTCTAATAAAGAAATCAAACTATACAATCCAACCACGTCAATAATATGTTTATTCCTAAGTTTAGATTTTAGTATAAAACATTTGAAAAATCTCACCTTTTCCCATTCTTGGGATCCATCAGACCAAGGTCCGTTCCACTCCTTTTCACCCCATGGATTCTGCAAACGTATCATCATCTGGCGGTCTACCGTAGCGAAAAATGAGGATGAACGACTTTTGACATTCAGTTCAATGAAACGCACTGCTGTGACTGCATATGCATGACCCTTTACTAGACCGCATTCCAAGGTTTCTTCAATCTCTTCCTTATTTTTAACCTTAAAAAAATAATAATCCCAAAAAACTTCAATAGTTTGAGCTTAAGCCTTCTTTATCACAATTAGATTATGCAGAGAGAAGTCATATTGAAATTAAAATACACAACAATTCAAGGTGAGCTCTTTACTAATAATAACACTTTGATTTGAAATGAGGCAGCTAATTCAATTTATTTAGTTTTTACTTTCGATAGAAAGAAAATGTCCAATATTTGTTTATTTTTTAAAATCACATTTTGACTAAAAAAATCACTGACTGAGATTTCTTTCTTCAGAGATAGAAGAAGAAGAAAAGAATGAACTTCGCTACTTAAGCATCTTCTTTTCCACTATTCTCTGATTAATAATTGTTAAGAAAACTTATAATAATATTTATATGTATATTCCTAGTGTGCATTTTATCAAACTTTAATTCATAAATAATTGAAAACCTAAAAAATAACTGAAAACTTCTATTAATAAAGAAACTTTTATCTTAGTGTTATTATTTCCATGCAATTCGGAATCTTTGGTAAATCCAACCAGTGACAAACTGATGACAAATTTCTACTTTTTTCTTCGTTAGTAGTCTTATGGCAAAAAATTACTGATATTTAATATAATCAGGTTACTTTATCATATCGTTTACTTCAAATTCCTTTCAACAAAGCCAACTTTGTCCTACAGTTTGCATGATATGATTTTCTTATCACTTGAAAAATGCGAATGTTTTTCAAAGTAATTTCATCCTGTGTAATAATAATAATTGTTTCATTTCAAGCTTCCATGTTTCTGTCATTAAAATCTATTTAAAAAAATTAATGTTTTCTATTTCCAAGATGAAATTTTCCAAGGTGGTAGTAGACACAGTTGGTCAGAATAAAATTATCGCATTGATGGTAGTAGACACAGTTAATCAGAATAAAATTGGTGCACTAATAAATAAGTAACTTATTCTCTCTTGCGAAATTTATCTAAAATTCGTTTATATTTAACAGTCACATCAATTAGGAACATTTGTCCAATTAGACTTATATTATAAGTTATATTACAAGTCATATTATTTAGGCTTATATTATAAATTATATTATATAGACTTATACTATAAGTCTATATAGACAAATATTTCTAATTGATGTGACAGTTGAGTAAAAGTAACTGTAAAATTGAATAGCTATAAAACAAGCGTAGATATGCTAAATTTAGAGGTTCAAATTGAAGAAATAAATTTGAATCAGTTCGTGTCATTTTTATAAGAGTGATTCGTGCCATTTTTATAAGAGTGACAGTATCGGTTAGTATAGTCATCATCATACATTGAGCGTACAGCGATGGCAGCGACGATTAGGGCCTGTTGATCAAAAGCTTCTTTGATTGTATGAAACAGTTTTCTAGAGGAATCACTCTGACCGCTCATCAGCTGCTTTTGCACATTGATTGTTTCCGCTATACCACCTGATATATCTTCCAATGCATCAGTTAACTGACCGCCAACCAAATTCTCATAACAACCGTATAATCTAAAATACAAAATTTTGCTAATTTTCAGTTCACTGTATAGCTTATTTTTATTCCGTCGAGACAGTAGTGTAAAGGATATAAAAGGCTATCAAAAGTCGATCACGAAATAGGAATGGACGAATGTTTTACTGTTGAAAAATCTGATATCAAGTGCTGTGATGTCTTTAAATTTTAAAGAACCTTCTAAAAGACGGGATGAAGAAGGCAGAAACAAAAGTAGATCTTAAGAATAATCGCTGACTAATGCAAAAAATCGCATGAGAATGTTCATAAATCCCTTCAAATTTTGACTGTCATGGGATAGCTATAATCCATGAATAGAATTATTGAAGTAGATGAAAACTGAATTTACTCGCATAGATAATTGTTAAGAGCTTTTGAAAATCTTTTTCGCTCATTAGAGTTATATTATATTTCAAATTTCATCATAATCATGTGAACTACCATTGGAAAGGAGAAGCAGCAGTGGATTCAGAATATTTAAAAAATCACTACCACAAAATCAATTTGCTAAAGAAGCAAGAAAAAATAACTTGGCAAAAAATATGCAACAACGAAAAAAACGAACTTAGCAAAAGCTTTTTCGAGCAAAGCACTCCAAAATTCATTAGATGATTTTGATCGAGCGAACAGCAGCTTTCCATCTCGAGTTGGTAATAAATCATCAATAACTATTTCAATCCACTTACCGAAGCGCCAGAAGCAAAAGCAGAATATACCACAGTAATTGTTATTGTCCGTCCATTCTTGTCCAATGGCATCTGGTATAACCTGAATTTATTCCATTATTTTGCCGCATGATTAAGTTAGCTAAGTGTCAGGTTAGCTAATAGCACAATAATTATCATCCTATTAATATATAACTATTTTAACTATTTAAACATTTAATATTGTTTATTTCCATGGCAATCCTCACTTTCTTCTGCCGTATAAAAGGTAAAAGTTATGCGAAACAACTAGACAATTTCAAAAAACAAACTTTTTTGAGCAATGCTTGGTTGTGTGTAAGCGCGGAACAGGCAGATACAAACCAGCAGTTACCGAGTATACCTTGAGTGACATCATTCGCTGTAGCACCCTCAACAAACAGCTGTGGATTGTCAACGATCTCCTGCAATTCCAGCGCTGAAAGGTAGGGGAGCGAAGGCGGAGAGATAAAAAGTGGGGAAGGAGAAGAACAATAAATGAACAACTCTAAATTAAGATATCTGCCAGAAAAACTTCACAATTTTTTCATATTTCGACCACCTTAGAACTACTTTCTTCCGCTTTTGAATTATCAAGATGTTTACAGAATATATGAGAAAATTCTGAAGATAGAATTCAGAATTTCGAAAAATTAAATCAGAGTGAAAATTTAAAGTACATATGGGTTGATGATAACACGAAGTGACATTTCCTAACTAACTGACATCAAGAAAGCAGTGGAACGACGTTAAATTCCACAGTAAAATTATATAACACCGTGAATTTTCGTCAGTCTCTACTTTTTCCTTCACATAAATTAGCATTATTTATTTTCCAATTCAAGAGCAGGGAATTGTTTACCCATATGAATAAATTAGATATATTTAATTGCTGTTTATCACATATTGGTGGCAGATTGAAGTACATTACACATATGAACTTCGTCAGTTCAACTTTTACAAACGATGGCCGAATGAATCGTTAAATATTGGAATGATAGGCAATTGGATCATAATTACTGAGAAATGGCGATAATTGTGCTTTCCACTGAAAGAAAATTATTTCCTGCTGCAAGGAAAAAGATGATGGACGGAGTTCGATTGTGATAATGGGAATGATTAAAAGACAAAATGATAATACTTACTGAACTATTTACAACAGTTTGAAATTGCTTTATCATGTTCAACAAATCTGCTTGCAAAAGAGTTCGGAAAGGTGCATGCAGTTCTACATTTTCTTCCACCTTTCACTTATTTTCTATATCCTTTTCATACCATTTTATCCCTTAACTTTTGAGAGAAAATAGTAAGGGATGGAAGCTATAGCGCACTGCTATAATATTGCCATCACTTTTTAACGTAGTTTCGAACTATGACTTGATTATTGATTACTGGCTTTTTATCCCTAATCGATTCTACTGATGATTACAAGTTGCTACATATTCCGTCGCTTGTACTCTTTGGGGACAAATTTCAAGAGGAATATATAGATTGCTTGCCAACCACCAATAGCTTTCCAACAAATAAACGGTATAAAATGATCGGATGACGGTTGACATTTAGGGATCGGCTGCAGTTATCTGATAAAAGACACCTGTCTTTCGTCATATAACTTTTTTTAAAACACTGTTGATCAAGAGAGTCAAATTTTTATTGTCACTTCTTTCACTGAATATATTAGCAAAGCTGTTGATATCCTTCATAGCAGTTGAAAGTAAGTCCTCTTAAAACTTTTTCTTGACAACTGATTTTTTTAATCAGTACTGGAAAGGGCAAAAAGAAACAAAGGAGAAAAAATCGATACAAAGAAAAAGAAAGGAATGATATATAAGAAGAGTTCTACCTATTAATACTGGCAACAACTAATGGAGCAGTATTAAATAGGATTAGGACCTCTATAAGAGGTCAGATAATCTATAACTGTTTTAGACTTTTTTGTTTTTCTTTTATGCTACATCTACTAAAGATTTTCTCGTGCATGGAAGAACTTTGATTTGTTCCAATCAGAGTAATTTTCTGAAAACATTACTGATAGAAAAGAAGAAAAGAGTCAGCGAGAATGTCACAATAAATTAATGACGACATTTTTTTCGTTCCAACTGTCAAAAATTAAATCTAGTGGAAATAGTAAACTGCGGGTATTTCATTGTTTATACAATTTAAAATGTCGCAGTAGGGATATGATAATGCAGCCGTTAAATGACGTGAGCAAAGTGAACAGATTTCCTGTAATTTGAAGATTGATTGGCATTTAGCACCGAAGTACAAAAAGGTGGACGAAATAGTTGAAGCGACGATTCAGCAAAATAAATGTGTGTCTCATTAATAGGAGAAGGAATTATATCTCATAAGCAGAGGATTGACCAAATGAAGTTGAAGCAGTTTAAATAATAAGAATCAAAGGATTTTGGTTATAACAAGAGTTTTATTTCCTGTAATTTTACATTATGTCCAATAATAAAGATTTTGCACGTTAAGCTTAACCTTTTGTGACAGTAACATTTGTTAATATTGGTTATGAACAATCAACTAATTGAATTTCAAGAGCTAAAATTTGAACTAGCTGTGTTAGAAATATCTTTTGATGCTTAAGTGGAGCTGTTCGATGAACCTCAAGATATTGTTATATTACAAAATGTTAAAAGTTAATAAGATGATGAGGATCAGATACAGTTTTCTTCTAATGATTGGTCATCTTAGCAATTTAGCTACTCAGTTTGCTTTGCTCTTGAAAGAAAAATCGTGAAAGGGTTAAAAGTTATGTTGCGGGTGGAAGTGTAAAAAAAGGAATTACTTACACCTGGTCGTTTCCATATGATATCAATTTCTGGATTAACCGGTCCCAGAAACAGAGAATTGTTGGTAGGCGGAAACTGGACATCCACAAAAAGCTGTTTCTTGCGAATACATTCTGCTTTTAGACGTCGATAGTTTTGTGCATGAAAGTATCGTTTTCCCATAATGGCAACGTTGGTGTGGGCAAGTTCGCTCCACACTAATCCTTAATAAATGGCAAATGATGGAGAAGACGACGACAAGCACAATCGACCACGACGACCATAAATTAGAAAATAATATGTAATTTTAGGGGGAACATTGGAAAAGTATTTCTTTCGACATGTATAAATGGAACGACAACAGGTATGCATGCACCTGCATCATAAATGTAAGATTGCTTGTTTGGTGTGCACAGAAAAGAATCACAATTTTGTGAGAAAATATTTGAAAGTGATAATTTTTCTTCTTCGTTTCCCCTTATTTTTTATCAAAATTATTCGTACTATCCTAAATCTCTTTATCATTTTTATTATTTAAAACAATTTTTCTTCGAATTATAACCGATATATGATACTGGAATATTTAGTATTATTATACTTGGTAAACCTTCTGTATACGATCTACCTCAGACGTTCCTGTATTTGCAGTAAATGAAGTTGGAAATAATATCTATTTGCAATAAAAAAAAGACCAGAAGAAAGATATCACTTCAGCAGTTGTTTGAGCATATGTAAAAGTCAACTTCATTAGGCAGAGAACTAATATGAATCTTTCAGGTAGAAATTTCCATTTAGAAAATATATTTCAATCAATTCTTACAGTCATCTCGATTCTATCTATAATTTCCAAATATTTTGAACAAATAGGGAACAGATCCTGTCACATGACATGATAGATGATGCTGTGTTGGAAGGAGTAAAAAATTTCTGTAATACTAAAAGTGTGATGTACTGCATCAGCTTGGCGAAATGTAGCGAAGAATATGTAGAAAAACAGGATTTCTTTTATGCCTACCTTACCCTTTTCACTTCTTTATGTAAGAATTTCGAAACATTTATGATATATAATGCTTCTAAAATAGAAATTCAGGTATCGATTAAAAATGCACAAAATTGTAGAATATAAACCCATTCATAAGCAATTCTATTTTTGACAATAAAAAAATATGTAGCAATATTGTGATAAGGTGTGTCGCATTAACAATTACTTCTTGAACTTTACCTTCCATTGTTCTTTATCTTCTCTTTCTTTATTCTCATTTTATAAAGTGTGGCCTATCGATTTTTCTTCGATAATAAATAACTGATAAACTAGAAAAAAAGATAAGTCTCAAATAATAGGGATATTTAGAAATTTAATTTCATCATAGCAATAGGCTTGAAAAATGCATTTCAATTGCAGCGCTCTTATATCCTGCTGTTTAAGACGCTGATTATAACGTAGTGAGGTATGATCAGCAAGTTGACATTCAGAATGTTTCTCTTTTGAACAATGAACTTATCGTAGTATTACTACGGAACTGTATTAAGTACTGCTATATAATTTCAATATATCTGAATTTTTTACTGAAACAAGTTAACCAGAAAGAAACTTTTCCCTCACTGTAATCCTAGAATAGTGTTATCCAGAATAGGTAACATAAGCAGTTAACAACAAATGTCACTTTGATTTTTAAAGTACTGTTTTCTAAATATTTTAAAATTAAGGTTCAATATTATTGTTACGTGTCCATTTACAACTTCAGTTTCAATATGATTTCTTTTTTGACATTATTTTCTATATAAAGATAATCATTAAAGAGAAAAGAATGATGGTAGAAAATTGCAAAAGTTCATTTTAAAAAATTACGAATCATCCCATATCGGACTTTTGTATGTTCTCTACTTCAATGGACGCGTCAATTTGATTTGATCGAAACGAAATTTCTTTTTTGTATTTGATAGTTGTCACTCACATGAAAAAATTTCTTGTCAAATGTTAGGTAATTCTGCTGTGCCCTTCACCTTCTAATGATTCACACGTATTGGACGTAACTGACTTGCGAAGTACATTTCCTTCTATCTTCATACAAAAACTTCAATTTCAAGCGTTATCAGTAATCAATAATCAGTCTTCTGATTATTTTTCTGAAGAAAAAAATCATAGATAACAACAATGGGAATTCATTGTTTTTATTTATGAATCTCTTCAGAAACACGTTGGGATATTAATAGTTAGTAATGATGTTCAAGATATAATCTTGTGCATTTCAATGTGCACAAATTTCTCAGAATAACTATGTCTGCTTCAGGAAAACAACATTAATCAGTTTTAGTTTCATACCAGCTATGAGCATTTATGATGCACAGGCATGTTCCGATTGCCAATTTAGGCTAAGGCCTGCTATATATGGGTAAGTTGGACGAATATCTCTGTTCTGACTAATACGAACGCCGTTATTGGAAGATAATTCGGAAAAAAGGAAAACCAGTTTATCACTCGTAGTCAAAAATATTGCACTTTTTTCAAATCCCTCTTCCAGTTCGTGACCCGATCTACGGCAAAGTTTTGATGCATTGGTATCTATCTTATCTAAACAACCCTCTTTTATAAATTATATTAGTCAGTGACTCAACAAATCTGACAAAAACAAAAATTAAGTGGTTATTTTAGAAGATAGTCTACCATTAATTATTATAACCCTAAAAAAAGAATATCTAACGCATGTTAGTCTCGTGTAAGACGACATTCGTCGTCGATTTTTGACGAATTAAAACATCTTCAGAAGAATTATACTCTACGCAACAGTATGTTGAGAGGAAAAAGGTAAGGACAAATCCGCATTATACCCTGACTTGTTTCCATGTATAGTTTACTTTTGTGAATCACTTTTTTCATTTGTATGCTGACTGTCGTTAAGTAAATTGATTTGAGCAAAAATAGATTTTTACAGTATCACCATGGTTTTCATAAAATTTGATGGCATTTTGAAATTTAAAAAATTTGAAATTTGTAACCGTGATCGTTAAGAAGTTACAGAGCAAGGGACACTTCCGGAAACAAGTCAAGCGGTTACCGCTTCATGTTATCAACAAACCACTATCATCACTAACATAAGCAATGGCATACTATCTTGCAATTATGAATTGCTTTTTTTACAGAAAAAAAACTCAAAGATAACAAAAAAGATCAATGGTTGGAGCATGCTGCAAACCAGATTTCATCATTAATTTAATTAACTTTAATGAAGAATCTAAGAATGTAACGACACGGTCCATACCTTTCACTTGACAAGGACTACTATTCAGTGGAACTCAGCAAATCTATAGTGAACAGTGGATTGGACCGCAGGTCTCGATATTATTTAAATTTATTTCAAAGTGAAAACTATTCCAATTTGAACCAAAAAGTTCAAGACCTCTGCGCCAAATCATTGAATTTTTTAATGGATTTAAAAAAACATGTACCAACCAAATTTAATAGTTGAATCAGAATTACTTTTAGTATGCTAGCACAAAAATAAAGGAAGAATGGTTTTTATGCACCGGTTCTTATCCTCATCTTGTAAGCTAATATTTGTTCATAAGAAATGGATAATTTTCTTCCTCATATTGTATGATAATTCCTTTTGAAAAAACATCTATGTCGCTAATTTTGCCATATTAATTTTGGTTCAACCAATTTATATCTCACTTCATTAGCCTGAAGAGAGATTATTTTCGATTCTTATTCAGTTCAGTACATAGGATTTACAGTGCTCATCTTTGTAGCTTGGTTTAATTCTCTAGCTTCCCGCGGACTAAAGTTCAACAAAATGAGCAAGTGATAGTTTCAATAAATTTAGGTCACCATATTCAAGTCCGTTAGATCTTTACAGAAAATCGAAAATAATAAAATTTGAAGATGAAGAGCGTTAGCTGCAGAATCGCTGCAAAAATTGATCACAATTACTTCTTGAACACTAACAACATAAAACAAATTTTCATTTTTTCCTCACAAGAAATCATCACGTTCTATGATGGTGCGTTGTTGAAAACAAAAATGCTTAAATGACAAAATTTATAAATATATCTTTTTTTGCTTTATTGTCTTCACGTTAAGCGATATTAAGCGAAATAATTATACTATCCATTTACAGTGGATACTGTCAGTTTCTAATGACTGTGTTGTCTTAATGGACTCTGCGTCAGAGACATAAAAAGATGAATGCATTTGTATACGATATTCAAAAAAAGTTTCTTAAGACATTCGCTTCATCTTATCTGCTGCAACTAAGGCATTAGATTTTAGTTTTTTGATATATACATCCGGAATAGGTCGTGCCATTCCTCTGAGTAGCTCCACCGTACTTTGACCTCGTTCTTTACATTCATATTCGATCATCTGTCGCCAAAATGCCACATTTGGGGATATGAATGGTCTTTTATCTAATACATCGTAGTATGCTTCTCTCAGGCTTAACCCTTCGTTAAGTACCAAAGACATTATACATAGCGACGAAGAACGACTGATCCCGGCTGCACAATAAATTAACGTCTTTCCACCCTGTAGAAAAAAATTCAATTTAAATTTCCCCTTAAAATTTCAAGTATATTTCACCCAGTACCAACACTGGCGTTGCTCTTTTTGCAGTTTCCTTCCTTAAACGTATATGACTCTCTTAACAATCAATGTAGATGAACTCCGTTTTAGTGATTTAAATCAGCTGTTAAATGATATTCTCACAAATATGCTCTCATACCTTAGAAGTAGATCCGAAAAAATGCTTCGCTTAAAAATCATATTCTAACACCTTTTTTTGTGCATTCCGAATAAACTGTGCGGAAGTGCCAAAATAAGGAATAAGATTGGCGATCAATGAATCATCCACCATAATGTTCAGAAATTCGATCCCCTCATAATGCGGATTATTTGGAAGATTAGTCGCGTCAATTATGTGTGTTATCCCAAGATCTCGTAGTTTCTGGAATGAATCCATGCAAACATCTGAAGAAGCACTCATAAAAATAGCAATTTCCTAATGCCTAAAGTCTTGAAAAAAACGGTTCCATGTCACTACTGCATTAATCATACACTGCTTTAAGAAAACGCATTTTTCAAATCGTAAATATATACATTTTCTCAATATGACAAGCTGAGATGAAGTTTTTTTGATTACTATAATTCTTTTTCACTTCAATTTCAATTCTTGTGAAACTTTATTTTTTAAATATATCGGTAAGAGATGAATATCTAGTCTACAACTGCCAAATTTCAGAAAGCCGTGCGATGAAAACTCCTGGCTTATCAAACCATAATGAAATCCACCATTTCAAAGACAACATAGCAATGTCAACGTATCAGTATAGAAAAAATCTACTACTTGAGAAAAGGTAAGTAACATCATGGAAATGGTTACATCCACGAATTCATAAGATACAAAATAAAATCTTATGAAAGGCTTAAAAATTTTTTTTCTATTCATTGCAAATTAAAATTTGCTGTTAGCAAAATATCCGAAAATCTTCAGTTGCAGCAAAACTCACTGTTTGATCATTCATATTTTAAAAGACTTTCCATCTTCAAACTCCAACAAAAAAATTTGAATCATAACTCTGATTCACCCACTTCAAATGCTGTAATGCTGTTCTTTTTGTCGTACACTATTCCGAATTTTAATTTGTTCTCCATCTAGCATGATCACAATTGTTCTTTCCGTTGTTATTCAGCTTAATTATTACTCCTTTTTTTACTCCAAAGACATTCCGACGATTTGATTAGTTTTATTCCTTTTTTCTACATCCCACAATAAGTTAAATCAGAATGTAACTAGTGAATTATGCATGGAAAATATGCTCGATCTTTATTCAGAAAAAGCTCGATCATGTGATGTTGCTAATCGTACAATTTTATGATGGTGTAATGAATCCAGTGTTCAAAATAATCAGTTCTTAAAATATGATATTTCCGACTAAATGAATTCATTGGAGATTTCCGAAACTGCTCAGTGACTTTTTTCTGGTGATAGCGTCAGGACTGCATAAACAAACGCTTACCTTCTCCGTAATACAACCAAAACCACTTAAATAAAGATAAGGTCGAATTTCCGAAACATCGCAAAATTTAGGGGTAACCATTGACTACGTTCTATGGTATGTTCCTTACACGTATCACATACCTTCCAAACAGAGGATTTTAATTTCGTTTTATTTTTTGGTAGTATTTGTTCAATTAGTACCAAACAACTTTGACCTGAAAATGGTAAAACAAATATATGTATATTTATTTTGCTTCGATTATGTGATGAACAGGAATCATAAGAGGTTCACATTATACTAAATCAGCTATCAAATCTTTCTAACAGCGGATAGCAGTATAATCAACGAAACTGTTTATGTTGCTTCTAGAAGAATAAAAGAAAGACAGAAATGTAAAAAATGTTTATGATGTCAACTCATTTCATTTTATAACAATTTGATGTTTATGCTACTCACATGGATCTTAAACATCAAATTGTTATAAAATGAAATAAGTTGAAGTCATTAATTATGAAAGAGAAATTTCTTGAGGTTTGTGAAAAAAAAGTAATCCTGAATATTTCAACATCAGTAACGCTAATCGAAAAATATTTCAAAAGCAGCGTATTCCTTAACCCTTTTCTCTCCATTAAAGCACTTCTTTTCACACCTATCTAGTACACCTGACTGTCTGGAAAAGTCATCTATTTAGAAAAACTAAAGGCTGGAAATTTTCAAAGGAATCCTAAAGACACTTGGTAAAAATAGCTGAAGAGTTATCCGCGCCTCTTTCCCGACCTTCTGATTTTCCCATCTTTAGTAGACAGATGATTGGAAAGCCTTTATAGATCAATACTTTCTTCTTGGGTATTGCACCACTATTCCGAATTCGCTTATATTCTTATAATTTTCCTATATTCAGGTCCACAAGATAAAAGGTTGACCAATCTTCTCCTTTTATTTATCACCTACATCATCTGCAAGACAGGTAATCGCACCACTTCTTATTGAAATGAAAGATCTCTTAGCTCGAAGATTTTGCCATGGTACTCACATATTATTTTTTGAAAAAATTTGAGAGAAAGACAGGAAATGTGGTTCGTCTTTAAACAAATATAGCAAGATCGTGAGGATACATACATGTGACATTGGAATTCGATTGCTGGATCTAACATCCACATTTATCTATATTTATACATATATTAAATTACATCCGAATTTAGTAAACTCCAGAATCTATTAAAGAATTTTCACATGTTCTTAGACAAAACTTAAAATTGATTTCAGAGGAAAATTAGGCATTATGCTTATCATCCCAATTTAAATTGCACATTTATATTGAAAATATGTCTGGTGTACTGTAGGAGAAATTGTAATAGGAATCGAGATATATGACAGTTATTTCCTCTTTTGGGTTTTCAAAATATATGATGGTCAACATCTATGATAGTGAAGATGGGCTGTCACTCTGGGTTTTTACTGATTGAAATCAAAAAGCATAATTTAAGGGATTAAAGTTTCTGAATAAAACAAAACTCCTCTCAGGAATATACGAACAGGACAAATATTTCTAAAGAGGACAAGTATTGCTGAGAATGAGAAGTCGTGTTGGTACTTTTAAAATGGGAAAGAATTCATGAGATTGAGGAAGAGATGAAGTACTGCCGAGGATGAAGATGAAGATAATAGCAAGAAACAGCTAAGCACAGTTAAGATTAATTAATGGATAATTAAAATCGAATTGTTGAAATCTTAAGTCGCCGATCATATTCTGAGAATACTATATTTCACTCAAACTCAGATTCAAAGATCTCAGATATCTTCTTTACCAACAGAACTAACCTAACCAAAAATCTATATAGACACAACTGACAAGGTATCAAGATGAAAAAGCACAAAAATACAAAGTCCTCGGAAAGAACAAGACATATGGTGCATATGGTTCTTCGCGGCGCGGCCGATGTGATTTTATTGATTGGAACGTCTAAAAGTTTGTCGATTTATGGGCACTTTGTGTTGTGGTGGTTTCTTAAAATTGGATTTGTAAAATACACAGTTTAGTTGGTGGAATACAAATCGGACTTAAGTGTGACGAGGTGTAGTCGCATGTCGGTTACGTTGCAGACGACGTTGGGCGATATCAAAATCGAATTGTACTGCGACTTATGTCCGAAGACGTGTGAAGTAAGCATTATTTTCTGGTTATAACGATATACTTTTTGTTTCACGTGTAATGTTTCTTTTTCAGGAAGTGTATTTTGAAATGAATAACTATGGGTGACTTTGTTGTATATACAAGATTACCAATGTCATTCCACTGCATAGATGAAATTACTACATGATCGCATATACTTTTCTTCGCATAACATATAATTATTATGCGACCCTATAATATAGTGACCTGTGTTGCCTGTGAAAAGTTACTTTTGGAGGTTCATCTGACCTGTTTCAGCTCATTTTATTTTTCAGTATTTAATTACAGTCTTGCAGAATTTCTTGGCATTGTGTGCAAGCAATTACTACGATAATTGCATTTTTCATCGTAATATCAAGGATTTTATGGTACAAACTGGTGATCCAACTGGTACAGGTAAAGGAGGTGACAGCATTTGGGGTGGCCCGATTGAAGACGAATTAAACACTGCCTTGAAGGTATTTTTTTACTTTTTGATGTTTTTTATATGTTTTCATGTATTATGTATATTTTTATGTTAGTTTCATTTATCTTTATCGTAGCAGTTTTCGGGAGGTTTCTTAAATGGCTTAATTTTTGAGTTGTAGGAGTAAAAAGCATGCTTTTCACATCCCAATGTATCATTGTAGCACGACGCCAGGGGCGTTGTGTCTATGGCTGGTAACGGCCCAAATACAAGTCGATCACAATTTTTCATCACGTACGGAAAGCACCCAACATTGGACTTGAAATATACGATTTTTGGACGGTTTGTTTATTGTAACCTTCATTTTTTATTTTGCACTTATTTTGAAAAAAACTATATTTGTAAAAAATTTGTAAAAAACTGTAAAGATTGTATTTTTAAAACTGTACTTTTGCTATTTGTAGAAAACTGTATTTTTGCTTAAGAAACAGGTCAAAAGGTCCATATTTTCCTTTTTCTTTGTCTATGCGATAAACGATATTCAAAACCTATATGATTTGCAGTGTAATAGACGGATTTGACGTACTGGACGAGTTGGAGAAAGTTAAAGTTGACGCTAAATATCGACCAGTTGTTGAACAGAAAATTCGGAATGTTATCATCCATTCTAATCCGGTTGCCGACATGGCAACCAGTTCTTAAAGCCATTTGTCTGAATCGCGTTTCAACACACATTATTCCACCATATCATCACTTTGTTCTCACTTCTTCAAAGTTGAATAGAAATAGATTAGCAAATTTTTGCCTCACAAGTAGGACTGTGTTACGTCATTTAACTGATGCAAAAGATGAGATATTGTTGAGATCCAATAAAAAATGTCCGATCGAGGTAGAAAAACAAATGGATTTGGAGAGAATTCGAGAGATGCAGAAGTATTTTGAGCAGTATACTGAGGAGTATGTTGAAATGGAAACTGAATCAGAAATTCCATGCGAAATTATAACAAAATCAGGTATTACCCAACTTTTCACCTGGAATCGGGTAGCAAGTCAGCATCCATTTAACATTTGAGAACAAATGATATGTTTTAAAACAGTCGTATTCGTTGGGACCATCGAAAAGGTAAAACTGGGTTTTGTCACATTGTTAACGAATCCTCCGTTTTCGTTCATTATAATTATATATTTAACCTTACTTCGTATTAGTACTAAGAGATGTATATTGTGTCTAAATTTCTTTAAATTTTTCATAATTTTTCACTTATTACAGATCGCTTACGCCAGCGTCTTGAACCTTTGCTAAACTTCAAGCAAGATTCTTCATCAAATCCATTTAGTGTGGGAGAGATTGTGAACATATTGCGAGTCGAACGCTCCGAAGATATTGTTTGTATCAAAGTACCTGTCAGTGACAGACGTGACAGACATGTTATTATTTGTACGCCTCATAATATGAGACATGGTGAGGCCATAGTGCTTGCTATACGGAAATGTTTCAAACTTAAGACCAAACATCAGGTTTGTTATGTTTTTTCTTCAATCATTTTATATTGTATTCCTACCTTAGTTCTGTTAAGCACTGACTTTATGAGATAGTTTTGTACGATTTAAATAAGATTAATTTCCAGTGTTTTTTTAATAATGTTAGTGAAGAACTGAACACTTTTGCTTTCATATTTCTCTTAATTTAAAGCATAATTTTATGCAGATGTAAAAGAGATAAGAAACTTGTAGATGCATTTCGTATAATCGTTGTAATAAGCTTCCATCTGCGTGTTTCAGTTGATCTTTATATGGATGATGGCATATTTATTCACACAATGTCACAGTTTTTTCAAGAATTCTGAAAGAATTTTTGCATTTTAAGGTTGAGCCACCAAAAAAAGCGAAAGTTGGTCGATGGTTGTGTTATACTTTCGAGGATACATCAATACATATTATGACTCGCGAGGCGCGATTCAAATATGATCTTGAAAGCCTTTGGGGCATCGGATGGATGGAAACGTTAGGAGACGAAGTCAATATTTCAAATCCAGAATTTTTGATGCCTGCTACTAATTAGGCTCCTTTTTTTACTGTCGTTGCTTTCTTTGTTGTGTGTTGATAAACGAATAAATTTGGATAGAAACTACTTTGTTTCATTTGACTATGAAGAACACAGAGTTTGTTATCCCTTGACGTATCTGAAAAATGCAGGAACGCAGGTGTCTGTTATTTTATAGGTTTCAGTCCGAAATAAATGTTAAAATAAATGAAGATTTAGCAGACATGTATATTCTGGCTATTTCACTGGCATGTTAAGGGGAAAAAGTGGGACTGCGGCTTTTATTACTATGGTTTACGTATTATTTTGATTTCAGTGGGGGTATTTTAACCGATGTTAATTTTGAAGAATCCATCATGGCTTGATGAAATCTATCTCTTTCAAATCCATATTGTTTTCTAACTTTCTCGGGATTTCACGATGAGAAGGAAACAAAACACAACATTGCCGGTGTGATAGTGAGAGAAATTCCTTTTGCTGATTTAATAAGAATGCAGTTTACATTTTATTTTTTAATCTTCGGATTTTTCGTAGAAGTAAAGGAAACTTAACTTTCTTTGCCTCTTTATAACAAAAAATACAAGACCAATTGTATTTGAAAAGCGAATTGCCATTCTGACAAAATGTTTTGAACTCATACAAAAGATATGAAATACCTGCCACAACTATTTATTTCACGTACGTGTTCTGAGTGGGTAAGTCTTACTAACAACGAACAATTTTTTCGTACTTTATATACTCTTCCTTATGGTCCGGAAATGTTTATCAGTTTTGGTTTTTGTTTGGAAACTTTTAATTTTAAAGATAGTAAATTTGTCTTTGAATATTTTGGACATTCCTTTTAGGCTTTGTTTTTATTGCATTTTCTCAAGTGTTTTCAGCATTGTTCTCCTTTGCAATGTTTTCAGAAGAATAAAACGAAAAGATTTGTAGACTGTTTCATGAAAGTAGTGGTTTCTCGGATAGAAAGTATTTGGTATCAATGCAGTGATTAGTTAATCAGTTTCAATCCATGAAGTGAACAATATCATTCATACTGCTGAAATCACTGTATCATTTTTGTTTTTTCCTCACTTCACTCGAATAATGGCAATTATTTCGAAGTGCTTAATTTTCTGAACATTGCCATCTTTGGTTCACCTCTGCAAATCTCTATGATGTATTTCCAATAATACTTTATGCTGCAGTCACTAAGCTCTTACTTCTCTATGTGATATCCATAATTATAATTATAATACAGGATGAGATTCTTTGCATCTCCGCTCATATCTTTCGAATCGCGAATTTTGTTATCCACGAATTATGTGAAGAAATCAAAAGAGAAGCAAAAAAAGGAAGAATTAGAAGATGACAAAGTGTCGCTTCTTGGATTGAAATAGATAGGAATTGTGAAACAGTGTTTATTAAATTATATTCCAATATAATATTACCGCATCTTTTGAGGAGGGAGGTTCACCTTGAATTCATTTGCTTCCTTTCTTATTGAGCTTATCACAATTTAAAGTTTGAGCCGTCCCTCCAACAAAATTCATTGTGCATACTCTCTGTTCCTCATTAAAAGTTTCATGTTATATTTGCAACTTCATCACTTCATCTTTGTTCGAAATGAAAATCGAATTTAGAATGTTACTCAAATTTACCATTTAATTTTGCTCTACCAATTAAAGCGATTAGGAATGATGCATAACTATTTAGTGAGTAGAGATGAAATGATTAGTTGCGAATATAAATAATGAATTGATATGAATAATTCTCTAAAATATTGTAAACAGTTTGAAAAACATTTGGCAAATTAAAATATCCATTGATTTGTTCAACTAGTGAGAAGGACTGATAATATAAGATGGAAGCGTGGTGAGTTCTATTTTTTAGATTAGATGGTAAATGAATTGTTGATCATTTTTGATCTCATCTTCATAAATTACGACGGATGAAACATTCATTCATTTCAATATAATCCATCTTCTGCTCCCTCTCATTCGTGAAATATTGAGGACGTGTTTTGGCGGAATCTTTGTTAAGAATACAGTTTGATTTCGAATAATCATGGAAATGTATTGCTGAACGACACATGAAACCGAACATTTCCTGCAAACTCACAAATAATCTTCACCTTAATCTTGCAGCCAATTAATTTAAAAATTTCAACTTTCATTTAATCTTTCATCATTTATCCAGCATTTGGCATATGATCAAGCAATTCTCATACGATTATTATATTTCAAAGCGTATTGACACATGAAGTGATTTAGAGACATCAGCGACACTGAAGTAAACTGTAGAAGGGACAGACAGTTGGTAACATATCTTGAAAAGTGAGTGATCACCATTATTTAGTATTGTTGTTAGTTGTTATGTCAGTAGTTAAACTTTGCAAGTGATGCTAAATTTTATCAAATTCTCAGCATATTGAGACGTACCAATGATCGTAAACACGTTTCGATACAGTAATTATGTGATGGAGCATCGACCACAGCGGTTGCATGTCCAATAAGAATGTACTGAGGTACGCGACGTAAAACTATATTACATTTCCTACCAACCATATCTACAAAAAAATTCTTTTTTCTGTCCGATATAGGTCTTTCTCAGATTCAGAATCTAATAAACATTTAAAATTTTCATGGTTCGAGGGCAACTGCCAGTTTTAGATCAAAAATGTAATTTCAATTCTATGAATTAGAAGTTCTACAAAGCCTATATTTGCACTCCTAGAAGACTTCGGGGCATCCAACTGTTGAGGATCTTTAATCACCTCACTCAGTTCATGTTAAATTTTTACCGGATATACAGATCTTCTCGAAATAGGTCATATCTTTATTTGGAGTATATTCAGCATTTCCAGTTGGAGTAATTGATGTATTGAATAAAATGCATCGTTTACTGATCCGGTCATATTGAGCACTATGGCATTCGATTGGTAAAAGATTTTCACCACTCAGCTAGAAAACTGGATTGAAATGGAAAAATTTTTTAAATGAACAAATATCATCGCCGTTTCGGTTATGGACATGCAGCATTAGAGTCACGGAATGATCCATTACAGAAAATTTGCATCCTAAAAATGAGAAAAACTTCGGATTCCTACCTTATTTTCTGTGCATATTTGCAGGCATACTTCAGGCGTGAGTGTTAGTAATGTTATTAGGCCCTCAGCTACTATTTGAATACCATCGATCGCTTCAATATAAGTCGAAAAACCAGATGTGCAATCTGTTAGAAATATCTTGGAATAACATGTTTTGAAATTTGGTTTTAATTTCAAACTCTTACTATATAATATGTAAATTAAAAATCGATAATCTGCTATTACTTTGAAAGCTGTCATTCTGTTCTTATTGTTAGGACAAAAAATGTTGGAGAAATGGATTAAGTACTATGCTATCTTGCTTTTTGTTCTGAGTTTCGTCCTCATTTATCTCGAGATCGTTATCATTTTTACAGTTAAGAAGGAAGTAGATGATAAGAAGGATCGTCGCTATCTATCAAACATACTCACTGAATAAATTAACAGCAGCCCCTCCGGAAGAGTAAAAAAGTGTTGATGCTTCTAGCTTGGATATATCGATTGTAGCGTTTTAATCTTCTGAACTAGTAATTTATCATCTAGCATCGGGGACGTTCACTCACTATGGTGACACTGTTATTACCTGGCTTATTTCCACTCAGATGACTTGATTGTTCCAAACTGCAGCCACCATTCAAGAACAAGAGAAAACCAATAGCTGGTGCTATAGATGGTATGCATGATTTCGTCCTAAATTACAGTTTAATTTTTGTTTCTTATTGATAAATACATAGTTAATCATTTGATTACGACTGCATTTTTGGCAATGACGTATTTTCACGGAATAATTCAAATCGGTGACAAAAAAGACGATTAGTATGAATGATTTTATAAAATGACAATGGAAATGAACTAACGCAAAACTATTGCTTTTCTTTACGATCCCAATCTCCATACTTGTAATGTGATGTTCTGAAATTGCATAAGAACTATTTATAATATAATTTAACAGAAGTATAATATTAGATAACAAAAAATTAGCAAACAATCTGATTTAGAAACTTTAGTCAGAAACAGTGTTGGATAGGCTCGACATCTCTTCGGAAACATTAATTCCGAATGCATCTTTCTGCATTGATGAATTTCTAAGAAATGGAAAATTGAAATTTACCTTTCTGCTGTGAATGTTTTCTTTGCAACACAACCATAATGTTATACAACTCGCACTCCCTCCTGAAATAACGATTCATCAAAAAAATACTTTCAATAAGCTACTGTTCGACACAGCTATATGTCGTAATCAGAGGTGATATTAGAATTTTCACCAAAAGCAAGTACCTCATAATATCAATCATCAAATTAACCATTTTAATTCATCCGCTAATTAGAATGAACAGCAAATAATGGAAGTAAAAAATAGCTGGATCTTTTCTAAGCATGCATAAGATTTACAGATATATTCATTGGCTTCTGAATCGTTTTGAATATCTTTCAAGATTCATTTCATAGTCAGAAAACATGAAAAAAATAATTATCGAACGAACTTCAACGATTCATCACAACATTTGTGCTCTTATGAAATAGGAAAATAGAAGTCCTGAATTTTTGAATAACCTTATTTTGTTGTATTGACATGTTTGGGCGGACATTTTCAAGCACAGATCACGACATTGGTGCTCGTTGAGTAGAATGCGTCGCTCGTATGCGACAGCACACGTAATTTGCAAATTAGGATATGCTTGAATGCATAATTCAGTTTGGTTACCTGAAATAAAATAGGAATAATCTTCGTTTTATATATTACCCATGGCCTCCATGTAACGGCTAATAAAAATTATCGCTGTTTCAAATTAAAGTGATGAAATTTTGGCGGAATATAAAAAAATAGAGAAGAACAAATAACTTTCATAAAATGCAAAATTAAAGGGCTGAATGAAAGACTGAAAGAAACAGCATTATAGATGGCATTTTTATTTAAACAAGTTGGGTAAGAGTAAAATAATTAATGAAGAAGCGATAATTAACAGAAGAGAAAGATAATAGCAACCATCTTTCATTCTCACGTCATTAAACGTCAAAAATATGTTTCAACTGCTATGGAAGGGTTAAAGAGAAAATAAAGTGTAATATTGAAACGATCTTACCGGCAAATGTGTTAGCAGTGAGAAATGCTAGCAGTAGGAAAAATGGAATAATCATAACAGAGTGTGGGATGAGATAGATAAGATATGCAACTCTGTGAAACTGCTAATCATGCACTATAATATATTTTAGGTCAATCTAGGCTTACTCCATTTTCAACATAAAAGCAGCAATATATGATTGCAATGGTGGGAGAACCAAAAGGTAAGGGGCAGAAAGGAAGTGGCAGGTATTGAAATAAGACGAGTATAGAAATGGACATCAGCGCATCTGAGTGGCTTGGCTGAAATGAAGGCAGTTGTTATGAAACTGTTAACTAACATTTCAATGAACTTTTGATTCTATCGGCGAAGGATAATTTGGTTTTTTGGTGATCCAAACGTCACAGAAAGTAATTTTTAGAATGAATTAAAATGTAGCAATTATAAGATAGTATGTGCAATGGACGAAAATTTAAGAACAGTGCAAGGAAAGTTTATTTTAAAAAACGTGGGAAAGGTTAATGTTAAGGTTTGGAAGGAAGAAGAAGGAGAAAGGGAATGTCTGATTCTCAAACTTTGGAAATTCAAATTCGAATTATGAAGTTTCCAATGTTATCAATTGATCTCTTGCTCATTCAGACATTATTTTGATTTTTAAAAAATAATTTTTTTGTCGATTCGATGATTTTATTTTTACAACTTTTTAGATATGTGCCTTTTCGTGCCTTCATAAGTATATGCCTTTTCCTAAATAAGATAAGAACTCAAAAGAGACGGAAATAAAAGTTAACAGAAGAGTGTTCATCAAAAATGAGACGTTTTACTCAAAACGAATAAGCTTCAGCTCATCCGTTCCAAATCAACAAATAAAAAATTCCCAATCAGGTTTAAATTTTGAAACGAGAAGCTTTACTATTTCCAAACAATATCTTTCGAATTTTTAATTTGTCAAAAATTTATTTGTCCCAGCAACCTTCAAATGAAACTAAATAGAACAAACACAGAGCATTACATCACACAATCCGTACTACTGCGCTTTTCTCTTTCTTTCTATTTCAAATTTCAAAAAACCAATGAAAAGGTACAAATATTATGAAACCGATCTTTCTACAGGTTAATTCTATTATAATAACGATCAGGAAGACGGATCGGAGAATTTCGGCCGAAGAATAGTGGGAAGTTCTCAAAACTGCTAATGAAAGTGAAACGCGGAAAGTATTAATCTAAGAAATGATTTCAGATGAACGGAAAATATTTCAGATGAACAGATTCATTAAATATATTTCTTAATTTCGATCCTCAGAATTTTTGATATTTTTTTCAGTTCAAAAATATTGTTGGACATAAGTTACTGAATAAAACGATTTCTTCTTTAAACTGAAGAAGGAAAAGTATTTCCAATTGTCATTTTGTTAACTTTTTTCTCATTCCTCTCATTGACACTCAGTGAGGAGTGAAGTACAGACCTATTTCACATCATTAACTCATTGATAAATAGAGCTCGAAGTTAAACAACTCCTATCGATTATTTTTGAATTTTTCGGAGATTGCCGAATTAATAATTTATAACTCGCATTCCTTACATCCCCGTAATTTTCCGGTAAGCCATTTCACAACAGAAAATGCATTCTTTTCCTTTCTTCACTAATAGTCTATAAAAAGACTGCTAAGGATTTTTCACTTCTTCCATCCTTCAGATCAAATCATGCATGCTGTCACGATTGATCACTCCTTAACTCCATTTATATCTGCTTCCTGATCCATACCTGCAACTCTACATTTCATGTTTTCTCCCACGGATTAAGTATTATTCGGTTCTACAGATCATACTCTTTAAATTTTTATCCTTAATGTACCACCACCATTTCTTTCCTCGTAATCCATTTTCAAAAGCCTTGCAGTATCTGAAAAAACAAAGCGCACTGTAATGAATTATTTCATTGCCGCCAACTCTCATCGCTTTTTGCGCATTACAAAACAAAATGAATTTATCTGAAAGTTTTTTAAACTTTTCATTTCAACCAATCATAACTGAAATGCTCCTTTTTTGTTTCATCTCTGAATCGCCATTGAGCTTCCTCTCTCCTCTTTAAAGTCAGTTCTATTACTTCAACAGATTATTTACATCAAAGCTTACCTGAGTATATGTGCATTTTTCTCCATCTTTGATGTTATTTTTCCTTTAATTAACATCCATAGGCTCGCTAAAATCTGCCATCTCTAACCCGTTAGATGTAATCTATCTCAAATTCTGCTGCATACGTCTACCATTTCGAGGTAATGAAAGCTTGATCAGGTTAGTTATTCCTTTATGCCTGCACATTCCTTTTTTACTGCGCGTGTGTCACACTTGTTCAGTGTCCCGCGGAATTCTTAATGATATTGGATTTATCGCATATTCTGCTGTCAGATAACATAGTTGGATGTTTCATAGACACTGCTTAAACTGAAAATCTTTTGGTTAATCGTTTTATAATTACAGAAATGTTCACTTCATTCTGCCTCGGAAAGGGGAAGCAATGATGCACTTGTGCATTCATTTGAACATTTTTAACTTTTGACATCGTCGAAGACGACATAATTATATTCACATTTTAATCATAGCATTTTACAAAAAATCTTTTTCGGTTATCCATAAATCTTCTTTGTCACAATCATCCTTAAGTTATTATTGGGCTTCACATATAACACATTTCAATTTTGTCTTATTGTGATCAGAATGACGTTTGAAAGAAAATAATTAATTTTTGGGATGCTACCTTATTTTTTCTATATTATAGGTATATTTCAAGCAACCAAATGAATACCATCGATCGCATCAATATAAGTCGAAAAACCGGATATGCGATTTGCCAAATTGTATTTTGAAATGTTATATTTTGGAAATTTTGATGACGAAAGGTAATTTTGATAATTTTAATAAAGATAATTTTGATGACGAAAGCAAAATTGATGAAAAGAAAATTTCGCATTGAAGTCTTGAAGTCTTTTTCTCGGTCCTTAATCAAAATCTAGGAAAGGTTGATAAGTTTTCTTGACTTCCCCTACAGAATTCTTTCTCTTCACATCCAGTAATCTCCAAATTTTTTCTTAAATTATATCACGTTCTCCTGGAAAGTGACCGCTCTATGTCTTTTATCAACCGCTTGATTTGAATTTTCCTCCTCCCCGTTTAACCGAAAAGGCCCAGCTAACTCATAATCTTTCTTTTCACCAATTTTGCTGCTCTCACCTTTCGTCACAACTATTACACCTGTAACTTGACTCTGTGGGTAACTAAGACAGAATATGTTGCAACCATTGGTTCCATCGTGATTTTGTTGATATTTACTATTAGCTGATGAATTTTCCGATATTTCTTTAGCTTGCGCGCTCAATCAATATTCATCATTTAATGTGCTATATTTTATCCACAATTAGTTTATTCCTTTGCTTCCCTATTAGGTCGTCAGTAATTGAATGCAACGATATAATTTTCCACCTTTTCCCATCCGTTGTTCAGCCAATAGTTCCACTTTGTTTCGTTGAGTTCTTCTGAATGATTATTCCCATTAACATCATTATTTACTGAAACCTTATTTATTACAGCAATGGTTACAAATGAAAACTGTTAAACCGATGTGAAATTTTGGATCGTGAATATTCGGTCACACAACTTATAATTTGACATCAATTTCAGGAGAAATCGTTGAGACAGAGAAACAAGGAAAAGACACTTGATAAGGGTAGGAGAATGAAGATTATTACAGCTACTATTGAATACCATTTTTTGTATACCTACTGAATATTTCGGATCCTATTCTTATTATCTCTCTACTCTAATCCTAAATTCGTAATAGTACCTAAGAATCAGTAGTGCTTTTAAATTTCATTTTTAAATTAACAAGAGATTAACTCACTTTATATAATCCCACGATGTTCGATTTTGACATATCATTGCTATAAAATATTGCAGAAAACCTAGGGAAATAAAGATTTGATGAAACGTATTCCAGAAATTTCAAGGGACAAGGATAGCATATTGACCGATGTAAACGAGATCATCCGATACCCGTCAACAGCTTTTCCACGCAAATGATTACAAAAAGTGATTTGATAGACAGCACAATCGATCCTGTTCATATTCATTAAGCATCACTTCACATGATATTTTCTCTCCTAACATGTTTACATAATTTCATTACTATCGATGTTTTTTTTCGTTCTTAACATCTCTATGAAGTAAATTTAATTCTTCTACGGAAACGAAATCTGTGCTAAATTCCGTGCTCTTTTCCAGAAGCGCTCCGCTCCTTCCTTATTTGATTGTTTGATCACAGAACTAATTTGAATCATCTGATCACTGATCATTATTAGCACGAAAAGAAACTGTGTGATCAATTCTTCCCATAGTTGAACTTTTAAATTCTCCTTTCAGAATTTTAAACTTAGCACAATCTTTCCTAAAAAACATTTCTAACTTACTAAATTTCTGAAGAAATAATTTTTGTTGTTTTTAGAACTGAATTTGATTAGGCGAAATTGTTAAATGAAAGTTTAGCCTACTTTTCAAGTTTTAGAATCTCAATTTAGTGTTTAATACTTAACATTATTTTTAATGCCCATTCACTTTCATATGCCTACGCCTCTATCCAAAAATCGGACGAGGAAGTTAAGTAAACTTATTATTCTAACTGGTCACACTCTTAGAAGAACAACAAATTTTGAAATCTCCCTAAATACTTCGGTAATAAAATGATAGAAAGTGAGATTCAGATCTCCTTGAACCTGCTTCTCTTTCCATCAGAAATCTTTGATAATACTGAAATTTAATCAAAAATCTTCACACAACCAGGAAAATCTCTTTTAAGATATTAAAACTGAAAATGTGTTAAATCCTTTTTTTTGTTTATAAGAGCGGATCGTTGAAGAGAATTTTTGAGGAACGGATGAATGATTTGTTTAAAGAAGAGAGGAGAAAAAGGAAGAGAAAAAGAAGCGCAGTAATTCATAAAAGTAAATGGGAGAGAACGGAAATCGTGTGTTTCAAATGTTAAGAAGGAGGAGGGTTTGCAAGCAGTTCCTATCCAGGAATTAGAAGAGTGAGGAAACCGGCACTCCGCACCGTTCCATCAAATCGACAACAGTTTCTCATCTACTGGGGTTTTGCCAGATGCTTCTGCCATATTTCCATTCGATGTTTTTGGAATTTCCCTCTCTCTCTCTCTAATAATCGATAAGATAGATAACCGTAAAGCCTTCTGTGTGATAGATAAATATCGAGTTCTGCTCTCCCCCTTGGCTAATATTTTCTTGATTCCGGTTAGATTCTTACAATTCTAACACTTCCATCCTATGACAACTTTTAACCTTTCAACCAGTTATCTTTACTATATTTTCCCGCTTTTTGTTTCTGTTAAGAGAATAATCTTTCAATGATCGAAGATGAAGTTAGCATTGTTTTCACGTGAAATCGCAATATTTGCGTCTCTGTATGTTTTCAAACCATAGCGTCTTACATTGTTCAGATGACAATAGCCTAATTTAAAACGAACTTAACTTGTCAGTTAGTCATATTACAACTGAACGATGACATAAAATCCCACAATTACGAGAGAAAGACTGATCTACCATATTTAGATGGTTCCTATCATTATTGAATTGAGAGTGTCCCTATTGCACATATATTTACATTTCATAGACATTATTATAAATCTCCAGCCGCTTGCTTGTGTTACTTGTCATCAAACGCACGTCAAAACAATCACTGTATTGTATTGAGAAGACGGTGATGATAAGACTGCTCGATAGGTGATAGCAATGATGCTAACAGTAATATGACAGTTTAAAAGGTAAAGTTGTCAGGTGACAGTAAGTTAATTCATGGATGGTAGTAGCGAAGCGAAATGAAAATAACTTCGTATCATATGATTGACACATCAATAGTACCACATCGAGGTTATTGCTAGTTGATGAGATAGAACAGAGAACGGAAGGAGGAACTTGTTGGTTAGGTTAGCTAAACATGAAACTTTTGATCCTTACCTAAAACAGGAAAAAGGAAAGAGAAACAAGTGATAGGAAGAGAGAAAGTCAATAAAGCTTGAAAGAAGATAGAAAGTAAACAAGATAGATTATAAATAATTATGCCACGGAGGGAATAAGAAGGGAAAATGGATCTGGCCGAAACGTCGCATGTCACTTTTTTTGAAAATGTTTTTTGAAAGTACTATGTTAATTTATGATCAATAATGTAAATTCTTTCTTCTCCTTATTTCTCTGTCCTTCTTAATGATAAAATAGAGACAGAGACACAGAGAGAGAGAGAGAAAGAGATGGGTGGCAGAGCACACATTTATAAATAAATTTAATAGGAAAGGATTGACGTCTATGTTAGTAATCACCATAACGTTCTATGATGCGAAGCAGAGAAAGGAAAGAAAAGGAAAAGTTTTCATGGGGACAGAAAAAGAATGATTGGTATCGTTTTCAACATTTCAACGGATGTTTGTGTATGCTCTCCTGTCATCATATGCCCTCCCCGGTCGATCGACTGATTTATGGTGCATTTCGGGCAGAGGCTATTTCACGGGTTACAAACATGTATGCTTCCTTTTTCCTTGCAAGCAGAGGTGCAGGCTTAGATGAAGAGTTAGCGTTCCTAACTGTATCCATGTCACACTCCAATCAACATCACATTTGCTACTTAATATACAGATGCCAGCGAACATTGTCCGGAGGAAAGAAGGAGAAGAGATTCGCTTTGTTCCTTCTGGTAACCGCCAATGATTTCCATCTGTTGTTGTGTGGCGCACGTGGCTTAACATGATTTGTTTCAGGATTCCAGATGCGGTTACACTTCCACAACCGTCAGCTTCCACACTCCCACAACCCTCAACGTCTCAAATCTTGACTATGACACATACAGACAGACACAGATACACATGGGCATACAACACACATACAGAGCAATACACAAACTTTTATTTGTAAAGGAAAAAAACACGCGGAGAAGTTTGCAGAATGACGCGTTCGTTCAGTCAGCAGCAAAACTCACCGCCGACATTTTGGCTCCAATGAAATAACATCCTAAATAGTTAAATGGAGAAATAGAAGAATACGGATCATTCACCAATGGTGCAGGTTGATCAGGCTTGATTAGAGATGCTTGCATTCTGTATGATATAATAAATGCGTTAAGGACCTCTGGGAGGCGAGAAACTGTGTGCCACTATATGGAAATTCGAAAATTACTACAGTTTGTCATGCAGCACGAACAAAGTACACATTTTTCTTTCTCTCTCTCTCTTTTCTTCTCCAAATGACAACCTAAATAGTGCAAATGAGTGTGTGTGTGTGTGTGTGTGTGTGTGTGTGTGTGTGTGTGCCAATGTTGTGTATGAAACTCTCCCTGTCATATCATGGGAAGTAACATAATGAGAGTATATAATTTGGAAATATCTCGGAATGCTTGTTTGTACGTATGAGAGAATGCGAAGAGCGATGCATTAGATGATATTTGTTTAGAGATATGTATGTATGTGTGTGTGTGCTGTAAACAAGGTAAGGATGATGACTATAATGAGGTTATTCCCGACCAGCGGGTACGGAGGTGAAGGCAAATTATTGATATTATTGATGAGTTGTGGGCGAGATGTGGCGATGAACTTCTCTCTTTCCTCCCCAATCTCCCGATAGATTTAGGGGCGGGGGAGGGATCAGAAAGGGTAGGAAAGTGATGGTGTGTGTCTTTTGTCCCGAGGAATGTGCCCTGCTTCATGGATGGATCATGATGATGTTTCTCTCACCTGAAGCAGGTATCGTCGTCACCCTGTGGACAGAATTCTCGGTGGCGCGAAAGTGTAGGGCGAGAGAGACAAGGAGAGAATAGCCCGATTCCTTTTCCCTAACCCATCATCATATTCCACCTCCACACTGCAATTTCAAATTTTACATATGAATCGGTGACGTCATAGCGCACTTGAAATTTCATGTACATAATCAAAAGAGAGTAGGAGAGAAAGAGGAAGAGCGGTGATGACGGCAATGGAGAGAGTCCTTAAGACACCCGCTGGATATTCTCGCTTTGGAGTGAATTTCGCATCCTTTCAAAGAAGGCGGAGTACCCTAACTTCTTCCACACTGATTGCTTGTCTAGGAAATTCCTTCCTCCCCCGCCCTATAGAGGTAATTTCCTTGCTTCTCTTGTTCCACTCAATCCTCGTCGTGTCCCCCGTCACCCTCTCAGGCCTGTCCTCTTAGCCTATAGCTTATTCAGTTCAATTCCCACATCATGATTAGCAGTTTGCCGTCCTTTGTATGTATTTCATAGCACAGCATCTTCACTTGTCACATAACTTTGGAAGCATTCGCCTACAATATCTCTCCTACTGCTGACAGTGAGAGTATCGCCAATCCCTTCTGTCTCCCACCCACCCTTTTCCGCAAACATTTCCAACCTTTTCCGAATATACAGCTTGCAAGCTTTCTAGAGCCACTCTGATGCTTTTACATGTACATATACATGTACACACACATACATATATATATATACACATACATACACACACATACATAAATTTGTTGCTCTTTCACTCCCATTCTCAGAGCATCACCGATCGGACCACCGTCCGATCGCCGTCTTTACCTTTTTGCCAAGCCATCGTCGTCGTAGTTGTGAAGGATTTTTTGGTGCCGTTATGTTTACCTTCATCTTACATACCATTCTTAAGGGACCATTTCATATTACGAACTCTCCTCTTTGCCCAAATATATTTGCCATGATATGGCAGACGACCTCTTATAATTGTGTATTTCATTGTGTCGTCTGTCATATGATATGATATAATACCGAGTTATTAATATGATATCTCTATGTCAAACTTTTTATTAAATATACTAAACAATTTTCATTTAAAATTGCTAATGAATGATTCTGAGCTTTCTTTATCTCTATCCTTATCTGCACTAAGCAAGGAAAAAAGGAATGCGTTATAATTTAGGATAGAGAACGAATCGTTACATAAATCGGTAAGGTAAATTATTTGTCGACTTGTCATCCATTGCATTGCTATAGAGGGTATTTGCTTGTTTATACTTTTCGTCGATTGTAATAGCGGTACTTTTCAACAAATGTGAAGTGTGCGCATCTTCAACTATCAAATTTACTATTGGAAATGGAGGATTATAGCAAAGGAGTCGTTGCTTCTTGCCACTCTAAACTTCCATTCCTAGATCTAATTTTTACCATAGATTGTTGTTTCACTGTCTCTTACCACAATTTCTCTCTTTCTATCTCTCATATCATCCATTACGTTTCCTTCTCTTTCAAAATCTTCCTGTAAATATTTTCTTTTCAACTATCACTCTGCTACAACAGTTGCCATTATAGTTTGGTAATGCCAGAAGGGAAAGTATAGGAAAGAGATGGAAAAAACATAGTACGATACGATATACATGCATACATATGTATGTACCATTGTTTGCTAAGGTCATTGAATGAAAGTCAATAAGTCATCAGAAGGTCGAAAGGTTGGTGCACAATGAGTGGTAAGAGGTCAGTCTCTTTTCTGATATTGTTGTGTTGTCTGCCTGTCGATAATCTATGATTCTGCGGGAAATAGCGGAGATTATGATTGTTTATAGGAAAGGAAGAGAGAAATAGTAATATCCATGCCATTACTCTATAAAAGTCACCATCGTCATTTGCTTGGATAGGCATGATTTCATTATTGTGAACAATGGCTATCCTATCTCATTAATACTCTGCTTCTACTTTCTGCAATTTTACAACAAGTAATGTCAGTCAACCCGATAGTTTTGTCAAAGAGGTCATTGATTTGGTTACATTCTTCTTGTCAGTCGCTGTTTACTTTAACATTGTCTACTGTGCCGAAGGATTTTTAATAAATTTTGCATGTTTACTGTAATTCTGTTGTTTCTCTCTTCATTTAGTCTACTTATTGTGACTGATATCATCCATCGTTTTATCGTTATCACCGAAATATAATCATTGGAGGATTAACTAGTCATTTAATTGTGCAGCTCTGTTCTCCCTTCTGACGTACGAAGAACGCATCTTATGTGGACTGTTTCGAAATGTGACTCAGATGTGCATATTATACTTGATTGGACTTTAAGACTCTTTTACCCTTTTATTGTGAAACTCATACTGTTTAATCAAAATTAACATATAGTATCTTTCAGTGCTACTTATAATCTAAATGATTGAATAATTCATTGTAGATGTTAACTGTTAATTAGGGTTAATAGAAAAATATGGAGGCTTAGGAGCTATTGATAAAATTAAATGAAGGGATTTGGTGAGAGAAAGCAAGATCACTTAAGAGCAAATCTAGTTAATATGAACAAATCACCTGGAAAAGAGGGTATCATATTGTTATGGCTTCCGGAAAAGGAAAGGTTGTTGTGGGAGAAAATAATATTACGCATATTTATGCTTCCTGCTCTTATCTTGCTTGCCATGGCAACTGCTCTATGGTTGTTGTTTTAGATTAAAACGGAAAGATTTGAGGAAGCTAAGTAACAGCCGTGTAAAATCATTTCTTGTTGGCTACTTCGATAGGCTTACACTGAGGAGATAGGCACTGAATTTCATGTATCGTAAGGGCAGCACTGCTACCACTATTTATTATGCAGTTTTATTCTCAATCGATTTATTTCACTTTCTACGCCTATAAAATGAGGATCTGGCAATAATCTCAATTGGAATATACATGCTATATGATGTTTTGGGATAAACTTGTTGAAAAAGTTTGATCGAGATTTTCTAATTTTCAATACCAGCCCAATCCATTGCTGGCAACCATTAGCGTCCGCGCAGGTTGTCTCAAAATTGTATTTTGATGAAAAAGAATGGGTACAATCCTCTCATTCTGATAAAGGTTCTCGAGTGGAAAACTTGAAATTAGAACCTTCCTGAAATTTTTGGGAAAGCTTCAAACTCCGAAATGCTGTAAATGACAAAGAACGGGAAACGCCATCGCGTTTGTTATGTTGTTTTGAGTTTCCTGAGAAATTTGAAGACGTTACTCACTCTGCGCTCTCTCCTCTTTTTTATTTCTCTCGTGCCCTCCATCTCTCTGTTTTCCTCTCTTTCATCCTCCGTTTGTCAAATTCGCGGAAATCTTTGCTGCCCAGTATCAATTGTAACAGTTTCGAGATGGGTCAAAGTCGGTAATGATCGAAGATTAGCAGTGATGTTGCTCGGCCGTTTGCACGAGTTTATTACAGTATGCCTTCCACCTTCTGCTAGCGACGTTTCATTCCAATTTCCAGACGGGCGAAGAGCATAGAGGACATATGAATGACGTGTCTCGTGACTTTCTGCTCATCTCAGTGATTGGTTGCAAACAGCAAGAAACGAAGAGAAGACGAGAGAAACGAAGCGCTAGAGGGATGAGAAAGAGTGTTTGCTTGCTTTTCCGTGGGAACACTACAGCACATGACGTCACAGTCGGTACGAATCTAATGTTCCCAATCCTCACTTTCTCTGCTCTCATCGTCGCACTCACATTTTTTCTTTAACAACATTTGTACTCCCTGTGTGTTCGCTATGTCTCTTTTTCGTTTATAGCTCCTATTCATGTATGATGAGCACTGCAATGAATGTCTTTTCATCTCACTGTGGCACTATTTAGAGGATGTTTGACAGTGCAGGGCTCTGGCCTATTGAAAAAATACTCTTGCCTTCTGGCGTCATTTGGCTGCGACACTCGATAATAAGCAGACATAGAGAGGAGGGGAGCTCCCACGATTGATGGCTACGTTCATTCTCAAACTTTTCGCTCGCTTCACATTCTGACTCGCTTCCCTATGTTCTGTTTCGCACCATCGCGTAAAGCTATTTTCAACTTCCCTCGCAATCTGAGCTCTCATCTTGATCGGGAAACTTTCTAGCGAAACACACATTGAGACATCTCAGCGGGCGAAATGAACAACAACGGGATAACCCGCTGATATTGTTTTTCCAACCATGAAATTTAGGTTTTCGATTACGTGTATCTTCACATGGTGTACGTGGTCAGTGGAATGGAGTAGATACAATCAACAGGTTATTAATGGGTCAGATGTGATATAGTTCGGTACCGCTTTAAACCGCCAAATTTTTGATTCTCTTATATTTTGTTAGTTATGATGCATAGGACAAGGTAGATGAGACTTAGTAACTTCAAGGGATCAGTTAATTATTGCAAAACATAAAATTATTGTTTCTATTGCTTTGCCATGCTATAATTTTGCTATCGTTAACAATGAATATAGTATCGTACTGAATGGAAAAGTTCAGTATCGCTTCGCTTCATGCTAGAAGCGAGTTTTGGCTATTTTATTGCTTTAAAGGTTGTGAAATGTTGATAAACGACAGAAGAACGCTAACGATGATATCTTGTGGAAGGAGAATGGACGAGAAGCAGAAAATTATTTCGCCATTTATGCAACAAAGCAAAGACCTGTCATTTCTTTTTACGGCACCCACTCACACTCATACACACACTCTCATCTAGCAAGCTGTTGACAGCATGTTGGCACTGCCAATGTTTTTTGTTTAAAAATATGACAAACGGTCCTTCCTTCTCGAATGCGTTGACCGAAGTGAGCAGAAGCGAAGGAGGAGTGAATAGAATAATGGACCGTTTCACCGAAGAGTCTTTGAGAGAGCAATTTCATTTGTTACATATATGTCGTTCTTAATGCAGCACATAGGCAGACTTGGCGTAAATATCACAAAACATTAGTACATTATTTCATCACTTATCACAGAATCGATAGCGCTGCCAAACTAATGCGGTTTATAGTTTATGGCTATTATATCTTTTTAATATACTCCACTACTGATGAATATCACTGACCACTGCAGGCAATAACTTTTATTAAAATCTGCATTAATATCAGGCGGTAAAATCATCTCAGCTGATGTCGGATCGAATTTTTGTGTTTAAATTCAAATTTGATCAAACCAACTGATCAAGCAGCTTTCTGCTCCTGGTCATCATCATTCGGCCTGTACATAACTCGAACGATTACACTTGTGCAGCATCAGATTTGTTGTTCTGTTATTGCTCAGTAGCAAATTTTACATTCTGAATAGAAAAATCATTTTAAAAAAAACTGTGACAAATTTTGAGGAAGTGCTGTGCTGGGGAAGAGCGGGGATGAAACGGGAAAAGGTGGGAGTTCTCTCATCTCTCTCTTCCCGATAATAATTTATGGAAATTTATGGAAACACTTTCCATTTTGTACTTTATTTTCATTCCCCACTTTTTCAGCGATGAAAGCTGTCCACAATAGACTTACTTCATCTATTGTTGTGGGTACAACATATGTCTGTCACAAAGGAAGAGGGAAATTTGCATTGACCGAAATTTTCAATACTTCCTTTCCTTGCACCAATCATTCATATGATTGATCTGGTGAGACTAGCGAAGTAAAAATAATTACTGAAATTCACCATATACAACAGCATATTTCACAGTAATAGTAGTATACGTATGTGCGCTTTCTTCCATGTAGACATAGATATATGCGCATTTGTTTACATTTATTTATCCCTGCTGCTATTTGCTTTTTTCAATTCTATTGATAAATGTAAATTCCTAAAACTAACTTACAAGAAAGGTAATGAAGTAGAAATCAAATTGGAAAAAAATAAAAATGTTTCGTTATACTATCATTGCTATTTTTTTCCTCTCCATCTAAACTATCTTTGCTTACATTACTTTTCGAATGAAGCGAGATCATGACGTGAAAAAACTGTGATGTGAGGAATGTAAAGTATGACGTGAAGTGTATTGGAAGGAGCTAATTCAACATCGAAATATGAAAGAATATTATGAGGTAGGGGTGAAATAGCATCGTGCCAAGTAGGTAGAATCAGCAGTTAGCAGCGGTTCATTAACCAGCCATTTATTTGTCCATTTGGAGTATTTCTATAAATCTTTTGCAGAATGAAGTTGCGATGTATGGATCCGTCTGCCTGATACAGGAGGCACCGTGTCTTTCCGATTTCGTCCGAGTGAAATTCCTAAATATATCAGATATCCTCTTCCCTCCAATAAGTACATTAACGATATCGTCGGACGATATCGTTATTTCTCACTGTTGTGTTCAGAAATTGCTACCTCGAAATTCCTGACGTTCCCTTCTCATCCATATTGCCTTGCTCAACATATTTTCTTTTACAGCCACTTTGGTCCAAAAAAGGACAGAAAGAAAAAGATGAAAAGGTTCCATTATAGCATTATAGTATTGAAAAATTTAATGTTCCTTCCTGCAAGAAATGTGATTGGAGAACACTTCTCTCTCTCTCTCCCTTTCCCCTATTTCGTCTCCTTCCCCTCTTTGTTCCCCAAAGCGTCTTTTTGGCTTTGAAATTACTTTGTTTACTTGACTAGCTTTACGTTGTCTGTTACCTTTTCAGGTTTTATATCAAGTAATTCCATTATCAAATTTAATTAGTGGCTAGAGAAGTACTGGGGTTGCATATGAAAAATGCAATATAAAGCAAAAGCAAATATCGAGCATTTCTTCCTGATCTTTCGCATTTGTCGCGGTATCTACTTGTCAGGATTCCAACGGTATTACCGTACTTCTTGGAAATAATAGTAAAGTAAAGAAATAGGCGATAACTGTTGTACGCACGATCATTTTATGATGATGCGTGACTGATTTCGTTAGTAGCGTTATCCGAGAAATGACTACGAAAAGGGTTGTTGACATAAATATTTATTTCACATATTAATTGTTGAAAAGCGTGCAATTATTCGTTTATTCCCATCAGTATTTCGATCTGAACTTCATGTCCATCGATCTCTTATGCAAAGTGAACATGCGGAAGAATGTCCAACTAAATTTGATATTAACAATGAATATGAAGTGATGGAGCCGAAAATAAATTCATTTCTTTGACTCATCCACATGATTTTCTTCTTTTTGAATTTTTTTAAAAGTTGCGAACAGCAAAGTGCAGTAATGGTAGGTATTCTGTGCTTTGTGTAGCTTCAGATTTCCTCTTTCTATTCTATACTGCTTCTACATTTATCAGCTGCATTGTGGTAGCAGTGGTGTTGATAGCTGTGATAATAATGACAATACTGTTGGTAATGATGATTAGACGATAATATGTTAGACTAGTTTTTTCATGAAGCTTCTGTGCAACTTAGTTTTGCAAACATACTAATACTATTAGCATTATTATCATTGTCATTGTCATGGTTGCAGTCAGCGTTATTATTGCACAGAAAAAATCTATTCCCATCTGCAAAGTGAACCATCTGTTTTTATCGAGCTTGTAATTCAGAAAATGTCTTGAAATCAGATGGATTTTATTATAAAATTAATTCTTTGAGGTTTTAATACTTATAATTTAATTTTTTGGATTGTAGATTAAAAGAAAAAAGTAGTAGTAAAATTAAGTTTGACTCGGTGGGTTAAAATAAAGATTATGCTCCAAGAAAGACTAAAAGATTGTAAGGAAATTTCTTCACATGGATGGGTAAGATTATAAAGTATATCATTAAAAGCAGTTTATTTACCGATATCTGGAATAAATCGGTGACATAATAAAATTTCTTTGAATTGGATTTCTTTTTATGAGGGATTTTATCTTATTAATTAGACCGAACAGCTGCTGGAAAACGATTGTTGAAATTTTGCAGTTTCGAAATATCTTGAAGTCCAAAAATTCTTGACTGAAATAGATTAATGGTAGCTATGTTGATATCTTTTGCTTTCATCCTGAATCCTACTTGATCCATAGCAGGGATGACTGATGAATATAAAAGTACAAAAATGTAGCAATCAATTGTGTATCTTTTCTGATAATCGTTAATGATCTTAATAACACACATGCGATATTTTTTTCTCCGTCGGAAGTTTGAAATTGAAAAAAGAATTTAGTTTCAGGATTAACATTTTTGCTATCAAAACGGGGAAGAAAGAAAATCTGCATCAGATAATTAATTTCATGTAAGTTCTAGTCAGTTTTCTTCGGCGTTAAAATTTTTGGTTATGGTGATCCAAATGAAGTAATGTATGATAGTAATGATTCTGGAAAGAGACGCACTATCTTAGGTTACCGTACATTAACTGCAGGATGTAACTCATTGATTAAAACAGTAGTAGTAATAATGATGGTCTTGTTCATGGGTCTCAAAAAGGGCAATAGCGAGAAATAATGGATGAGAATTACACGATAGTATTCTTCATATGGGTATCGTTAAATTGCATAAGCCTGAATTTCTATGAAATCACGTTTCCTTAAAAATTTATTTTTGAAGAGTTGATGGTGTATCGCTGAGGAGAGAGCAATAGATTTAAGTTATTTCGAACTTTTCTTTTTTAATTGACTAAAAATTTTGACTTATTGAAAAAGTCAATTTCAAATTTTTTCAAAATTTCAATTTCTTTTCTCTGTTTTTCTGCATTTTACAAAATTACTGGAGCCAGAACAAATGATCTCCTACCGGGAATGCGACAGTCTTTCTCATTTCCTTCTGTTCATTTATGCTTTCCTGAAAAGAAGTGTAATCACGTTAATCTGTTCACTTTTATATATTCTATTATTTATTTCGTTGTATTAGTGCCTCTCTTCCAGGGTAGGTAGATATCATATCTCACTCTTACTGTCAAATAAACAGTTTTGAAAATAGCTAAATTTTTTTCTGAATTTATATTCGGAAAGGATTATCAACGTGTCGAATACAGAAACCAGTTCAAAGGACAGAAAATTGATAATTAATGATAATGAGTGATAATGCTAAAGGTGAATGAAGAAAATGACCGCATGAGATTTCAATTTCGAGGAATAAAACATTCACAGTCTTTTTAGATATGCCAAAATGCCAGTTTTTCGCAATTCGTAGCAAACTGTGTGCGGACGATAAAGGAAAGGTGTGAGGTAATTTTTTAATATTTGCAGAAAAATTTCTTTTTTCACTGAATAATCGATTTAATTTTGAGACATTTATATTCGATTTTTTTGCTTATCAACATAAATGATATTTTAAATAATAAACCATTAACTTATCAACATAAATGATAAATGATATTTTAGCGGCATTTAATTTTTATCTTTATAGATGTAATTATTATTGTTTTCATCGCTGTTATTCTTTACTTGTCGCCGCCGTTATTTAATTGTCTTTACTAATTATTATGATCACTGCCATCACTATTGCCATTATTATCATTGTTATTGTTACACCAATTGTTTATATAAAAAATTTGTATTAAAAGTGTGGTATTTTTTTTTTTTAGAAATGGCATTTGTATCAGGAGGAGGAGGCGGTGGTGGTGGTGGAGCCGGAATTGGAGGAACAGGAAGTGGTTTACCGACGGTAGCGCAATCAGCAGCAACATCATGTGGCATACCCTCTGCTTCGTTACGTCCTCAGGTTTGATTTTATTTGGGCAGTTCCAGTTGAAATCCTAATTTCCCTTTTTGTCTCTTTCATTAATATAGTGAGTGTCATGTGTAGCTATTAAAGAAATGTACACGGCGAGTTAATAACACTTGACAATAAGCAATCTGATTACTGCTACAAAAGTTCAAGCCATAACTTTTATGAATTACGGGTAACATTAAAATGAACCATAAAGTGAGGATCAATTGTTCTCTACTAAAATTTCAGGACGCGCAGGCGATGTCACCGCGTGGTGCAGCGTCGCTTACTGCAGCAGCTTTGGCAGCTGCTCAAGTTTCGACAACTCCAATTCCTGCAGCTCATCTACTGTACCAGCAATTTTTTTCGGCCGGAGCTGTTGCAGCACAGTCACAGCTATTGCAAGGGACTGCAGCCGTGTCACAAACGACGCCATCTCTTCCGCCGCCGACGCAAATATTACCGCAAGCCGCTGCAGCGGCAGCAGCAGCAGCAGCAAATGCCGTGGCGGTCGCTGCGCAACAACAGCAATCCGTTCCGTCTCAGCAACAAACAGCGTCTGCATCACAGTCACAGCAGCAGCAACAACAGAATCAAGCATTTGTATTGGCAAATGCGGCGCAAGCGCTTGCGATCAATCAGTTGTTACTGCAACAGAGTCCGCTTCAGCAGCAGGTAGATTCGTTTTCATTATCGCATTGCTACTGCTCTCACCAACTTGTTTCATACATGGGAGACATGGACATATTTTTGGTCGGTACCGTTTGCATAACAGGTAATCTTATGTTAGTTAAACGAGAAGTACATTTGTCACAGATCTTCTACTCTTTCCTCCTTCTCACAATTAGGTGCCACAAAATTTCCTATCAACAAGCAGATGTCATAAGATATCAGGTGCAAGCAGCTTTGGCGCAACTGCTCAATCCGTTCGCCTATTACCAACCTCACTTGACGGCACTACTTCAACAAAGTCAACTCACCGCTTCCAATCACATGCAGCAATCGCAGCAACCAGTTCAAATTCAAGGTATATTTTGTCGAAGGCCTGTTTTCTCCGTTCTGCAATAGACGTTGAAGCGATTGGATTACAACTAATTCACTTCTGGATAACTTTAGTAATACGGTGGAGTTGATCGATCTGTCTTTCAGATACTCGTGTTGAATTCTGTTGTAATGGTTATTTTTGTTTAATAATATGCCTATTTTAGTTCAAAATGGGATTGGAGCACCATTAGCTGCTCAGCAACAGCAAAAAATGATTGAAAATTTGTTGGTAGAACAAGTGGTTCGAAATCCGACAACACACGACAAAATAGGTTTGTTCTTCGGAGAGGGGTGCCTCTGACTTCAAAAATATGAATATAAGGCGTGTTGTTGATTGCCTATGATTGATCTATAAATAGACTGCGTAATTAAATTCATGCGGAATCTCAAGAGTCCAGCACCATGTAGAAGGAGGGAAGACATGTTTGGTCAAAATGAAATATGGACCTCTTCAGAGGCTCTTCTAATATGCAATTACGGTCGATCAAATGTTGCGTTGGCTGAAAAGGAAGAGTACATTTCATTCTATCCCCAAAATTAATAATTGAAGCGTATTTAAGATATATCACAACCGGTCGTAACGGATAATAGAAATATCGGGCTGTTGACAAGTGCAGAGTCAGTTAAGGAACACATATCTCGGTTGATTAGCGAAAATGAAGCAATTTTGGAACAGAATCCGGGTCTTATTAAAAGGCGCCCATATCATCGTCAAGTAGGCTCGCAATCGTCTGTTGAACTTGAAACGGGTATTAGAAGTCAGAGTAATTCACCAGGTATCCACATTTTGCTAATGTTTTTGAGTAACTTTTGTTTTTATTTTGATGCAAAACAGATGTGATTTTAGTACATATGCATATGTGGCAAAATATATTCCTTTTCATTAACTGCCGTTTAACATTAAAATCTAAATATTTATCTTTACAATCTTTACATTGTTCAGGTTTGCGTGATGTACGCTTACAATTCACTCATAGTCAATCATTTTATGAATCACACAAACCACTTGCCGTACGAGTAACCGGTGGACCATTAACTAACGGTCATCCAATCGTAAAAGCATCGGACAAAAGTACATGCAATTATTGCGAATTGAAGTTTCCAAATGATGCTGCTCTTGTTGCTCATGAAATTCGTTGCAGCAAGTTCGTTTTTTTAGTTCTTATTTTATTCTTACAAATTTCGTAAATTGTTTATTAATTGATGGCTGTTTGTTATTAACCATCCATTGTCCAATCGTTCTGAATATCTCATCGTTAATTCTTCTCTGGACGGATATTGATCTTCAATGGCGCGGCAATATGAAAGCCGTTACGAACATATCCCGCAAAATATAAGCTGTTCTGGCATTTTTTTCTACCCTCTCCGTGCATTTTTCACTTCAAGTTTTTCTCTTTTCACTTATTTATGCGAGGACTGAGTCATCATCATATTCCTTCTTTGGAATTCATTTTTTATCCGTTGGTTGTGCCTGTGAGGGATGTGTTCATTTAAGTTCGACAGTATTATTGACGTTGCTTATTTCCTTTTTTATGCCCTGTATTTCCTATAAACCTTGATTTATCATCCGTACAGTTTACATTAAAAAAAGATGAGTATATCTGTAGTAAAAGAAATTTAAACTAGTAACCACATAATTTGCTCCAAAGAGATTTATCGAAGTTTACAACAAAGGAAAGTGTTACTTCTGTCTCTTAAGACTTGTAAAACAAATAAAACGAGTCTTTTGTTTATACGAATAAAGATGAGATTTTTCTTTTGTCACTCATATGGTAAAACACTTCATAATAGTCAATGGAAGGACAAATTTTACTGGAAACACGCTGGAATATATCATGTAATTAGCGAAATAATATCTGTTATGAGGAGTGATATTGCTGACTAATTATGTGTACACTTTATCTATTTATCTTTTAAAGACGGGCTGAAATACATTCGCAAGCGACGTCATCATCGGCACCATCATCAGCAGTATCCGCTGCACATCTTCAAATGGTTCAGCAACAAAACCCGGCAAATACCGGGGTTGTCGACAGAGTTAGGCGTAAATCGAGTACCTGCAACAATAATACTATATCTTCTTCCCCCGTGTTGCACGAAAATCGTCATCCACTCAAACGGCGGCTTCTTGCAGCTGCGGAACATCTCGATGAATCGCAAGCATCAACAAGCAAAACTTCAAAATTGGTATAAAATTTAATGTAATATTAAAATTTTACATGTTTTTGCAACATTTCTTGATATCACTTCATTTTTTATCTATGACATGATCCAGTAATATAACTCGTAATGTTTGTTCAGTCTTTAGGACTGGCTAAATTCTCATACTTGTTTTGTTACTCATTAGTATTCGTACTTTTTTTGCCAAAAATGTACCACGAATTATTAGAGTACATCTCATGCTGTCCAAGTTATATCACTTGTTGTTAAGGTCATATTAGTGTTTATTCAGTCTAATGATTTCACCCTCAGGAAACGCCGAAAGCAAATATAAACGTTACAAATCCAGTCTGTATATCATTGCCTACGACACATTACAAAGCTCCAGTACTTCCCCTACGAAGTTTCAACAGTATTAGTAATATCAGTGCTGTTAGTGAGACTTCTGTTCCTGCTACACAAACGGTAATAATGATAACTTCTCATCCCACGAATCAACTTGTAAGTTCGAAGAACGTACAAACACATAAACGAATATATCCTGCCTCAACGATTTCACAGGTATGTTTCCATATTTCTTCCACTTCATTTAAATATATTGCATATCATCACGAGACATACACTGAGATATAAGAGGAGCCTTTAAAGTCTTGTTTTTTCTCACAGCCACTTTTTCTTAGTTATTGGTTCGCCTTATAAATTATTATAATCGGGATGCTGAAAAATGCTGAAAATATATGTCACCACAATCATGTACATGAAAATAGCATGCACGGAATACATTCAATTCAACTTTAATTGTGTTTCATTTTTTTTTTTAGAATACCAGTGTAGCGGCCAACAAACCATATATTTTAACATTGAACGACGTATCAACAGCCCGGAATGATGGTACGTCACGCCGAAGTCGCATGCGTAATATTACAACGGAAACGTTTGCCACGTTGAATAAGCCCCAGCCAATGTTCTGCGAACATAAGCCGAAATTAAGCATGTACAGCAACTGGCAACAAGTTTGATTTTTTTATGGGACTAATTCTTGTTTTTTAAGATATTAGTCAGCAATTGTTTAACTAAATCTGAAGTGAATATACAAAAGTCCCACATGGAATTTAAACTGGCTTTTGATTTCATGCTTAAGTATTTCATTCTATATTCACTTCAGATTTATTTTTCAAATAAAGTGACAAACAGTGGGACTTTTGTAAACGGTATAATTCTTAATAAAGCTTTCAAAATTTTAAGTTCACCCATAAGTTAGAATTTATTCAATGTTTGATTTTGTTGTGATTTTGAAGGCTGATTAATACAGGAACTTCATAGCGCATATTCATCCGGTGATTAATTATTTTGTGCTTGCAGAGTACTGTAGATTCAGAGGAAGCAAAATTAAATTTGCTCTACATAAGCACATGTTCGACAAAACCGCGAATGGGTGTTAAGCAGCTATGGAGGTATACTACGGCATTACGTGAAATGGGTGTACTGAAAGTGACGCATTCTTCATTTTGGGATTACTCGACCAAAGTGTGTAATTTTTGGTATCTGCAAAATGCCATCCTGCTGTTTATTTGCAAAAAAGTTTGAAGGAAAAAGAGAACAAATATCGAAATGAGTCAGCTCGAAACATATTTATTTGGTTTATTTGTTCCAGCTAAATTCCCCATTTTATATCTTCATAAACTCGTATTTTCATATTTCCTCCATCTCTGCTATATTTATCAGTCAGGTTTCAAACCAAAGTAAAGATACAATAATCATGAGCTTTTTAATTTTCATTTCTGTTTGTTTTCATTTCTGAATGATTTTTGCGACAAATAGAGTGGGGATAAAAAAGACTGTTATAGATACGTTTACGTCAAAATGCAGCGGCTACTGCAACGACAGCAGCATCGTTGCATTCTCAAGCAGTGGTTGCAACGTTTGTCCAGGAACGCTCCTCCGCTGTAGCATCGACATCAGCAACTGTTTCTGCGACTAATGCTATTAATTTTATACCGACTAGTAACCCTCCGAATGGAAAGAGTGATAGTGATGCAAATATCAGTGATAAAGAGAATATGGCAATGATAGAGAAGGATCGGGATTCTTCAACTTCTTTTAAAGAGTATATTTCTCGCATTTAATATTGCTTCAGTGCACTAGTTAGGCTGTTGGAGGTTGTTGACGTTGTAATAAAGAAAAGATTATGCCCACAAAAAAAACCTTCAAATTCCACTGATCATTGCGAATTCTGAAGTTAGGTAGTTAGATAGACAAAAAGCCTTAATATACGATTAGGTTAGTAGACGATAGATCATACCAATGACAATGATCAAGTAATCAGCAACAGAAAAACTATGAAACAAGAAGTCTAGTACATTAAAAAAACTGAGTTTTTGATGTGGATTTCAGTCTATCATTGTTTATATATATATGTATATATATATACAAAAGCATTAAAAAAGCAGATACCTGCATTCATGATTGCGATGGCAAGTATACGCACATTCCGTGCAGCAACAGAGTGTGCCGACTAATCCACACGTTCGACATTCAAATATATCCTGAAATCCATTTATACCATAAAAAAAGAGAACCAATCGAACTATCAGAATAGAACCATTGTTGCACTAAGGGCTTAGGAAACGAAAAAAATATAAAAGAATAGAATAGAATGAACAAATTTATTTTTGATTAATATAATCATTTCTTCAAACCTGATTGATGTGCTCATCGCCGGTCCACGTGAAGCTACAAGTATCATTCATACAAAGCATGAATAAAGGCGAATCATCCAACCTACTTCCTAGTGGATATATGATGGAATTTAAAATTGAATCAGCTGACTGCCTCTTACCCTGAACACCTGCAAAACTATTTCAAGTTAACAGTTATGGTTCTCGTAACAAACATGGATATAGTTGAGGTATAAAGGGTATAATTGTGCAATTATAATCTGCCACAATTGCATCAAAAGAAAATGATACTGACTAGTTATATGCGCTTCTTTCTGCAACTCTTCCGCAGCAATCCAGAGGATGAAAGCGGCCGTATATGCTCTATAGTTAACAGCACACATGAAAGGCGTATGTCCATTAATATCTCTAAAATTGAAAACAAGAAATTACTTTTGTTCAACATCGGACAAAAAAGACATATTAAGCAAGTTTTCATGTTGTGTAATTCATATGAATTACGGTGCTGCAATGGATATGCAATGCAAACATATATGTTTGTAGCTACCTATCAGTTTCCCTGTACTTCTTCAACAATTTTCTTCGCGTAGCATAATAAGTAATGGCAAGTTTTCACAGACAGCTAATCGAATCTCTAATTTTTTCATGCTAGAAACTGCTCTGATCAAAGCCGTTTAGCCATTTATTTCAATGAACCAAATACTAATACAGCCAGTAAAACCAATTTTTTATCATTTTTAAACTAAATAATTTTTATGATAGAAGATCTACATATTTAGCTTGTCTTATTTTACTACAATTCTAATATTCCTTTTTTATTAATGATGTTGCAACAATATGCAATAACTACAAAATTACTTTGTTGTCAATAATTCGAGAAGATATGGTGCCACAGTGGAATTGTAGCAAAGAGTCTTCACAATTTCTATCGAGTTGCACTGTCGCACCTTCGGTTCATTGTTTGCATTGACAATAATCGGCATCGATGCTGAACAAACTTTTTTTGTATAACATCAATCAAAATTTATCGATTCTTCAGCCGCATGATTTCTACAAAGGTTAATGATATATAAAAAGGACCTTCTTCTTTCATATCTTCCATGAAAACAGATGATTTTTTCGCATCTTTCAAGCTTCTCGCAAAATCTGCCAATACTGAAAAATGAATATGATTTCATGTTGGAAAGTATTAGTGAATGTAATTCATAATATTTTACGAAGTTCACGATTCAAAATCCTGAAAAACATCTACAACAAATTAAATGTGGCGAAAGTTTACTCATGATATAAAAAATCTCACCGTCTTCCATATTACCAACATCATGACCTGGTCTTCGTAATGGATTATTTGCCATTAATTCTCGTATTAACATTTCTTCTCTAAATGTAAATTTTTAATAATATTACCTTAAAAGCCAAAGCGAAAAGTTCAGAAAACAAAATCAAAGAAAGAAGCATAAAAACAAACTCTGCATTGGCTCCATGACGTCTCAACATACGTTGCCAACGGCTATCAAATGCAGTACGGGTTTCTTCAGCAGCTGACATATCCGCAACTGTAATCAAAATTTCAGATAGACAAGCATAAATATAGTGCCATTCACTGTATGACTTTTAGATTGATATCAAATTAAAAAAAATATCGGATTTCCAGCCATCTTATCTAGGAAAAGGCTCATGTGGAAGACCTCGACTAGAAAAAGAGCATGGAATCACCTACCTGTTAAACGCTGCAAAGACTTATTTTCCGTATCAACTGAAATTTCCATTGTGTCTGCCTCTTCCTTGTTAGTTGTCGCAAAACTGTTCATGACTGCCGCATGAAGAATGGTTCGATTTCCATCTGCGCGAGCGCTCAGGATTTCGGCTTTTACAACCTCCCGGTCTACAAATGACTTTATAAAACAACATCTTTGAAATGCTAATTGTCGTACTTAGAAACAGTAATCAACGAGGCTATCCAAGCAAAAACAAGGATATATAAAAAGCGTGAAAATTACGACAATTCGGTAAATGCAATACAGAAGACATTCCCTTTTACTTTGCCGATCGTGGTTGCAAACAGCAAACTTTGATTTAAAATCGACAATCAAATTAAAATTTCTAAAAATCTATATGCAAAAAAGAAAGTCCAATAAAGCTACCTGATTCTTTCGAAAGTGCATCAAGCACTAAGTCCACGCCTTGCAGGTCGCAATATAGAACAGTTTGCAACAAAGATGGTATTCGCGGACGAATAGTCGAAGGAGACGGAGCAATTAAAGTTACCATAACTCCAGTGCGATTTGCATTCTGTGATGTAGATGACGCTAGAAAAACTGTTGTAATCGATCTTTACTCCATATTTTCAGAGAAGAATTCAGGAAGTGAATAAATAAAACGTCAAAAAGTTTTAACAAATTTAGTAACTACGCTGCAAATCCTACACAACCTCCTTTAATAAAATCATACATACAATCGTCATTGGCAGTTGCTGAAGCATTTTCATTATCTCCAGAATCCAATGGCCTTAAACCAATTGCAAAATTATGTATTTTGGGTAAGGCACAATAAACCGGTTCACGAAACCCTCCCGTTGCATCACGCATCATTGGTATTATCGAACCGTTACTGTCGCTTATCATCATAATCATTTCCTAAATTTCGATCGGTGTACAAGTCACGGGCTTATTTTTATAAATAAGCAATAGAAAAAACAATTAATTAACACTTCGGAAGCAACTAAAATGCAGAAAAATTCGTCAGACTGCACAATTTTCGATCAAAAGAACAAATTTAGAAATACATGGAAAAACTATGAAAAAAGTAGAAAAAACTCAATAAAAAAATTAACGTACATCTCCATAATTCTCAAGGCGCGGTAAATGAGATCCAGCATTACATACTGCTGAAACATTCACTGGCAGAACATGATCACTTTGTATTTTACCAAATACACTGACACGAACCAAATGAAGCCGTCCTCGTTTTTCGACCAACAACCGTAAACCTGAATGGTATTTCTAAATTAATGAAATAGAAAACAAGAATATATGAACGCTGTAATACTAAGTGGCAGACGACTCACTTTCCCTAATTGCCAGGTTCAAAAACCATTTACGATCTCCGATATATTTAAATCATTTTACTTACTAATTATTTTAAATAATTGAAATAATTTTAATTCTGCAATACTATGTTCATTGTTTTTGTCCAGAATGGTATTGATGAGGATCTCATAAATAATGAAAATCGTGAAAATCAAGACAAACCAGTATTATCTATGGTCAAAGAATGCATTTTTTTCATTGATATACCACCCGGCAACTGTACTTTTTGCATATGTTTTTGAAAATTCTCAGGACAGCGAGGTATTTTACTGTTTGGTGTCACAACAACAAGATCGTCTTTTCGCATCAGACGAATTTTTCCCAAATCGCATGCATCTTGATTGTGACTGACTGCATCACCATCATCACAAGCGACCACCGGTCTATATATAATTCCACAGTAAGCTCCATCGACCTAAAAAAATTTCTGCATAATCAGCTTCAAAATTCGAAAAGATTACTAAGTTTCCACTTTACAGCGGTATGAAGAAGTGGATAAAAGTACCCACAAAAATCATTAATTTTCGTTTTGAAAAAAGCATACAATTTTAACAACGGCTGTGTCCTGCGAGGTTTCTTTGTGAATGAATATTACTTCATTAAGGGCCCATGCAGTCTCCCGGTAAGTACTTCCTTTCTGCTCCTCACGCGGTCTTTTACCGTATTCTGAAAACATGGATTTTTTTATAGTGAAGAGAGAAATCTGGTACTTAAAATTTCTCAACGAATGTTTAAAATATTACCAAGACAGCAGACAATAAGAAGGATATGGAAACCAGTCTCCGACGTAATAAATATATAACTTTTCAAAATACTGGAAAGTGAAGCGAAAAAAGTGTAATCTAAACTGCATCATATAACCTTAGAGTTCAATTGATTAGAAGCAATAATTTGTTTTTGTTTTTAAAGAAAAAGGCTACTACTACATGGCAAATTAGAATGCAGCTAAGAAGCGTGAAGAGAGTCAACTAGGCATATAAAAGACCCACAAAGCCAATTTAAACACCACAAAAACTGCCTCTTTACTTTGATGTTACAGCTTTCATCAATGTTTTCGTCTTTTAAAAAACTCACAGACATTTCCATTCACATAATGACAAAACACGTATACCGTAGATTTGTACCAATTTGAATCGACCAATTAACTCGATTCTTTCTTTTTCAATTGTCATCGGAGCATAAGCACAGTGATATAAAAATTTTATTGGGGACAAGGAGCAGCTGAGATGCATTCTAATTAACTCACGATTCAAGGAGCCTTTTTTATCAGCCGACTGATGCGCAGAAGAATTGAGGCACGAACCGTCATCATCACTGGTCTCATCGTGCTGTGCTGGTGTCATTACTCGAAACCTACATAATTCAGACAGCGTCCAAGCCGATTCCATTAAAGCACCAACCTTCAAACAAAATTTCATTCATTTTAACCATTGGAATTTCAACGCCAAAAATTTTGCGATAAGCACATCAGTTCATAGGATATTTAAGCAGAATATCCTCAAATTAACACATATGTTTTCCAAAAATAAACTCCAACCATTGGTGTTCCAGAGCTGAAATTCAAAGCAATTGAACCCGTCGTGTATATAGGATGCGACTTCGTCCGAACTTCGCAACCTTCAACCACTTCAGGTGATGCAAGATTTGAACTACGACGTGATTTTGAACGCATTCTCTCCCATAATTTTCGTCTTTCATTAAATGGATAAATACCCCTATAAATTCATACTCATTCGCAACAACCACATAACCAAGCATGCTTTAATGGTTCTAAGCTTAAAATATGATTTCCTATTAATCTCATAAAAATTAGGGACAAAAACGAAAATATCTACTAGTCTTATAAATATATTCCTACTAATCTTATAAAAAAGGACAAAAACGAAAATACATAACGAATAGCAGTTTAAAATAATACGTACCACCAGTAACAGGTATTCGACTGAGTTTTTAGCAGACAATACATCGGGCACACGTACAGTGATGCATATTTCTCGCCATCCGGTATTTCCATCAGCGGCGTTAACAACATATTGGATATCTTCATACCACATGCATCACCATCCATAAATGATGCTACCCTATTCATACTTGTTACAACACATGCGCGATATGCACATGACACTACATCTATAAATTTTTCCTCATCTGGTGCCTGGAATTAAACTGCAGATTACATACCAGTAGTAGTTTCTACAAACTTATATATGAACAGAAAAAAAACTTCACTAGTAATAATTTGTGAGGAGAAAAACACAGTCAAATGTAAACTTACACCAATCAAAAGTTTGGTCCCAAAGGGATGTGCAGTCATTGAACCGTGCCCATCATTCCTCCACGACCAACTGTAGAAAAATCCATTATCACCTAACGCGATTAATTCACTACTCATAGCAGCTATTTTCACAAACTTCGTTACACCCGTTGGAAACATATCCTGCAAATTGAAGAAACCAATCGAAGAGTCAATAGTAAATCGAAAGTGCTGTGAATCAAAAAGTGTGCAACGTATTATCTGAGGACAAAACAATTTGAACCACGGAAAATGCTTTTAGAATTTACCTCCAAGTTACAATATCAACCGTCAGAGCAGTTTAAAAGTTTAATCGCCCAGTTCATGCCAAATAACAGTGATAAGATCTTTTTCAAACAATTTCAAATTTTTGAATGAAGCTTTTTTCCAATTTCAAATTTGAATAAAAACAAACTCACCATTTCTTTACCCCAATACTGCAATTTTTCATCATATTTTAAACGTGTGTAAGTTTCTGCAGAAAATTCTTTTGTTTTATCATTCTTTTTATCTGAAAGAAAAATCTCAACGATCGAAACAGCACGAGCAATAAAAGAAATTTATACACAACACATTTTTTTTACTAAGTACCGAAAACTTGTGAATATAGTAACCTTTATCTACTCGTTTCCGAGCAATATCCCTTGCCACAACATAATCGAAACCTTCGCCACTTGCATATAAATTATCCCCATCAATTACAGCACTCCCATGTGCATCAGTTCGCAATCCAGCATCCAACAACGACAGAAGCTCTTCAGGAAGATAAGCTTCAGAACCTTCATCCATTTCATCCGCTGAAAGCAAACGTACAAGATTTAAACGTTGAAGTGTAGAAATTACTTTTTTGCATGAACTTCAAAATTGTCAACCGCAAACAATTTTGGAAGAACCAATTACCTTCTTCGTCATCACGGCTGAGCAGATTATTTACAGCTTCGTTTACATTGAGATTCGTTCGCTGAAGCTCGCGTACAATAACTTCACGTGACTTCCCTTGTAAAACAACCTTAAACGAAAAAGTTAATAATAGGTTAACTACAGTCAATCGATACACCAGAACATTTCTTACTTCCAATTGGTTGCAGAGATAATATAATATCTTTCTCATATGCAACTATATAACCTTTCCAAAACTGAACACAAATGATCACACTTCTTAGTGCTATTCACCTGGGCTTGAGCAATGAGATCCTCGGGAATGGCACTAAGAGGGACAAGCGGTCGACTTCGATCAACAATCACACCCGCACGTTCGCCCAATGCACCCGCCGTCCGTCTGGCTGCCATCATTACCCGTCTAATTTTTGCACCACGACTTAATACTGAAAATAATGAAAAAGCTGAAATTACAATAAATAACGTGAAACTGAAATATAAATTTAAACGAATAAAATCAATAAAAAATGAAACCTTCGTCCAATCAACAATATGCTTGCATTTTGACTAATTTTTTTCTTTCATTAGAAAGGTACGACTAACCAGTACCAGTAGATGGACCGCTACTAGCACCTGTTGTAGGTCCGCCTCCACTACCGGCACTTCCCGAACCTCCACCTCCACTTGTTGCACCAGAGCTTTTGTCATCACTGGTGTTTTCCTCTCTAGTAGCAGTTGTTAAAGTGTATTTCAATCGAGCAACACGACCACACTGCAAATATATTTAGAATGTGTTTTACCAAAACGATTTCAAAGAGCTTAAGTGATAACAGATTCTAGCTTCGTTAGATAAAAATTCAAATATTTTTTATGGTCGAATAAAACTGCTAGACAGAAAGCTCCCAATATTTGCATACTCTGAATAAAAATGCCACATGATTCGGGCCAACGGCAAGTTGTGCAATACTATCGGCATCAATGTTTGCTAGTGCTGCCGTTGATACAGCACCATGCTGATTCCGAGCACTTGATGCTTCTTTTATACTGCAAAACACAAAAGACGAAAATTTTAAGTAGCTTCTAATTTCCTTCATTTACTACCATAAATAATAAATCCCAACGTTTCCAGACGAGCTCCATATTTTTATTTTTGATTAAATTGTAAATGAAAGAAGCTTAAATATCCTTAATACCCAAACTAAAATTCACCAAAACGTGCCAAACATCACTTATGAACGAATAATCAATTACCGATCGATTAAATGATCCTCATTACTCGGAACTGGAAATGCGAACAGAAACAATTGCTTTTGGTCATCCATACGATTTCCCAGTTCCCAACAACAAGTCTTCCTGAAACTACTGCATTTTAGATTCACTGATTAATTATCATATCAACATTTGAAAATTTTGCAAAGGAAGCTGACAAGACAAAAAAGCAGTTATATACAGTTTTCCTTTCCACCTTCATTAACGATTTTGTTTATGTAGGTGTATAAGAAACACTGGTACAACGGAATTCTATCTGAGAAAAAGTATCAAATAAGCCGAAAATGGTTATTAATAGTGCTAAACATTTGATTATCGTTATATTTTAAATAACCAAACAATATGTGCCGATATTCAAGGGTGCATACATACATACATCAAATGGTGTAACTACATGTCATACACGATTGCATCAACTGAAGTGTAACTGAGATTAACCGGAAGACAAATAAATCGTTGAATTTTCATCCATTGGTTAAGCTGATATTTGATAACGCTACTTTGCGTAATGAAATTTACTTAATCTTACTTTGGTGGTTTTCACGAGATCCCAGAAATTCGATATGCTTCGTTGCGACACAATTTCAAACTAAATCTTTTTTGTGTACAAAAATTCCAAGCCCTTTTAATTACCTGAAAACACTTCTGAACAAGTATCTTTCCTAACAAATACATGTTATAATATTGGAATATGACGCTAAAGAAGGGAAAGCACAGTTACAACTCATCCAGTTTTCGGGATATAAATAACTCTTTCATTTCGTAAGGCACAATTATTCGAAGAAAACAGATCACATTTCCTTTATTAAAACTTCACTGATATATGACTTTTGGGATGTCAACGATTAGGAGCCCCAGCTTTCTCTAAATTTTATTACCACTTTTACTCAAACGGGATCTTCCAACGAATATATCCTACGGCAACGTAGAGTAGAGTTCACATACCCTATAGCTGCACTGAACCACGAAAAAGTAGCCCATAACAAATATCCTTATTGTTTAGTAACATTTACTAGACTTCCAGTAATAACGTTACTTGGAAATCATCGAACTTTAACAAAGATTTTTAATTCAGACCTATCCAATTTTACGACCTAATTATTTAATACTAATCACTATTTTGAGTACAAATATATATGAGTACGAGTGACCAGTAGCACCTAACTTCGAAACTGAAAATCATGCAAGATAATTTTCGTTTTCCCTACTAAGGTTCCAAATCGATTGATTATAGTATTATGTCAGATATCGTCGAAATGATCTATCCTATCACCCGCTTTTATGTTTTTATCTGCATATCCATAAAATATATCCATAAGAGTACTAATTCGAAAATTTCGAAATTGTTTCATAACACATGAAAGTAGGATAGATATAAGGAATCTGACACCCTATAAAAAAGCTTGCATTCAATTTGAAAAAGAGGAATGAGTGAGATGGTTAATTGCAATTGCCAGAATTTACTGATCAGTTATCGGAATGCTAAAATAGAGACGTATTGTATTAATAAATCATGAATTCATCTTCTAGGAAACATTCCTCAACAATGCATGTTAAATCGATCTTCTGAGAATGACAACTCGACTAAGTATTAATTCTCGATAATCTGTCGTGTTTTTCGAGACGTTTACGAAGAACCCTCTCAAAGAACTGTTGTCTTTCTTAGCATCTTCACGACATCTCAAATATAGAAGGATGAGAACAGGGTAAAATGCATAAACTGCCTTGTTTCTGCCACACTGCTACTCGAGGCGTCCTGCACATATACGCGCACAAACACACACCTCTTTCTGTATACACAGCCACCCTCCACTAAGACTGTTGGCTAGTTTTATTACATTGCATGCTACCGCTACTACTACTTCAATTACTACCCTTACTACATTGCAGATTACTATGATTACTAATCGTACAATTAGTTTCTATGTTTCACATTATATGCATTCACCATTAAGCATTTATCACAGCTTCACGTCACACTTCCGCTCACTTACGTCACACATCGGTTATATTCTCACCCTATGCATCGACTGTTGCTACTCAGGAAATTTGATTTCCAACATTTAGCAGTGCGAGATTATGCAAACACAACTCACAGAATCTACAATTAACGAAACATTGCGCATAGCCTGTACACTCCGCATACAGCACTCATAATCTACGTACACCGTGACAGAATATTACAAGATGGTTGAATGAACCTGGGATTGCATCTGTCAGAACGAGCACTCGTTCTCATTCTGCAGTAGCACTTCGATAGATGCAACAAACCGCTGCAAAAGTTGTTCTCATTACGTCGTGCAGTGTGCATGCAAAATAAGATAATCAAGGAAATGCATGTTTGAACATAAGAGATAGCGTGCTATGCTGTTTACTTAGTACTATTTTTGATCTTTCGTTTGTCTTGTTTCTTAGCCATTTTATTCTATTCAATTCACTATATTCTCCACTTGTTTCCGTCTTTTCACTCAATTCTCATTTTGTCCACTTTTTTCTTTCTCTGCCTGTTTCATGTCATCATAACATTTTCATTTTGATAAATTTTCTTTCCTCTTTGCCGAATTTTCCTGATAAACGAAACAATTCCCATGACGGTGCAGAAGGAGTAATGGTACCAAAGAAATCTTAGGAAATTTAGATTGTTTGATTGGATACCGAATAGCATATGATCAATTTGAGAGTTGTAATGCTGCAAAGGGTGCTTACAGTATTAACTCAAATTTTCATATCATTTTTTTCCTGTTTTTGGGTTCAAATTTTTTAGTTTCAATTATCGTAATCTTTAAAAACAGTCAACGTCAATATACACGTTAACGTATACAATACAAACTAAGATTTAATCAGTGCCATACTTCAGAAACAAACGGAGTATGTTACTAATGATGATGTTCGTGAGTTTTTATAAGTCCATATATGAGCATATAAAGAGTACGAAATGATTTCCTTTGACGATTTCTATTGTCATAATAGGATGATAGGATTGAATGAGTTTAACTTTTTTTTTTTGAAATATATCCTTTTATTTTTCAAATTCACAACCATTGCTAACATTTGCAGATCAGAAATTATACCGTATCTTATCTTGTCATATCAGGTTTTCCTGTTCTACAACTTTTTTGTTAGTGTTCCTTTTCAAATTCAAGGAAATACTAAAAAAGAATTATTTGATAATTTTCTATGAATTCTATTTTTCCTATAAATTTATTACTTCACTAACAGCCATATTCGTCATTTTAGATGTTGACAAAAATTTCAAATGCTTCATATATACTGTAAGCTACAGTACTAATTTACTATAAATGCAGTGTTTTTCTATCACTGCTTGGTTAAAAATTAATTTCTGTAAATATTTTGAAATCCTGGGCTTCATTTCTTATATCATCACTATGCAATAGACATAATTAAGCATATCTTATCTAATTTTCATATGATTTGAAAATGATAGACATAAGCCGAGAATAAGGAAATAATAGTGAAGATAAGATTGGATGATTCTTTGCTTTTTAATCATTATTATTTAACCTTTATTTTTGAATCGCCAGCTGATTGAAATGTCGTAAGTTGGAAGGATAAATAATTCGTACATATGTATGTAAATTTTCATATTCATATTATTGAATAACAATGATATTCATATTTATCACAGATATGTATTGCACAGATATATTTCAACATAAATCCCGCGTGGAATGAAGAATACTGCTAATTACAAACGAGAAATTGATTATAAATGGCTATTACATGTTCCAGATTAAATGTACAATTTATCAATTACATTTGACGGAGAAAATAGGGAAGTAAACATGCCAAAATTAGTGTAGAGTCTTAATATGACAAAATAACAATACTTTATCACAATGATAACCAATATAATTAACCAACTATTGATATCAAAGGAATAATTCCAATTTCTGCGAACATATTTCTATTATATGTTATTGATAACGATATACGACTATAGAACGTATTGTAACAAGTCAGCTGAAAAAGTGAAAAAAATGATATTCTAAAAATTATTTATTTAATCGGTCGGTTAAATTTCAAAAAGTTCTTCTAACCTTATAACTTAAAATTATTCATACTGATAGATCGATCTTAACTTACATTTAGCAATTAACAAATTGCACCGGTGCAACTAACACACATATTAATAACAATTAATGAATATCTAGATTAGTGAAATACGACCAACGGTTTATTAATGAAAATGAAAAGTAAATGCTAGCATTCATAATACCCTCTTAGTGACTGGAATAATAAATACTCATAAAAAATCAGCTCATAAATCGTTGAAATTAATTAATCACAATATTCCAAAATATTTTATTAATTTAATATCAAATTCAAATTAACCAAACAATTATTGTGGATATCCTGTAAAAAGATATTAATTAAGCTAATTAAGCTGATAATATAATCTAATAGAATAGGCATAATCTCCTAAGAGTTATTTAAAAATAAAAAATAACTGGCAGAATTATTTAAAAATTAGCTCTCTGTTGCTGTTATCACTATTACAGCATAAATCATTGATATTGTTTTTGAAATCAATTGGTATAAAGATACTAATTGTACGACCATTATTGCATCCATTTATATTATTACATTCAGTATGAGTCAGATTGCTTTTATCAGCAGTATCAGCATTAAATTGATGATTTTCATAAAGTGTATCCAGATTGAGCTTAAGCTTTGGTGCATGACAGCTTGCACTCCGAAATTCGATTACAAAAGTAAGAATATAAAATTCGAAACAAATTGCTAGCAGCCATTCCGAACAGGTAGCAATCGTATGTTCCACATAATGCTTCAAATCAAACTATCAATCATTCCATCATTGAAAAAGAAAATGCCAAAATGGTTAAGCAATTAACATTATGAATACCGTTCCCATCAACTTTTCGGCAGTGCAATAATATGACCATATTCAACAAGCAGTCAAGCCATGTTTAATATTAACAAGGCAAATAATATGTTAAATGATTAGATCCTATTAATTATAAGAAATATAAAAGTATGTAGAGTTAAGATAGCAATAATTCAAAAGTTAAAAATTATTCGTAAACTTACTGGACTATCAGGTGTCCATTTATAAAGTTGATCGCAGTTAAGCCAATCTTTTGGTTGTTGGCCAAGTATTGTCCCAAATATTCCTACTTGAAATTGGAATGTAACAATTATTTGAAATTATTTTGATCAACAATTATTTGATTAGAATAATATTTCATGATTAATATCTAATAGGACGGTCCAGAAGTAAATAACTGAAGCTAAAATTATTCGAAAAAATTTATGCTACGAAATTTATTCAGAATTTACTCAGAGATTCATTTTGTTCACTCTATGAGCAATAGAAATTATTCATAGCTGCATTTATCAGGAATCATAAAAAATCAGGAAATGTAAAAATGCCGTAAGAAAAAGGAAAATATATCCGTAATACGAATTTTGCCTGTCCTTTACGTCAAGAAAAAATTAATGATTTGAAAAGAAATAAGCTTTAACTTTCAAAATGCTAAGTTAGTTAATCTAAGAGAATGAAACGCCCTTTTAAATTAACTAATTAACACTTTGTTAAATACGTAAAAAAAGAAAATTGCATACCATTGATGAAGAGAGCGGTAGATAAACAACATAAAAATAGGCGACAATGTGGTACTATAGCTCTTGCAAGTCTAGGTCTCATTCGATAACTGAAGATAGTCTGGGCCCAAGTATATACCAAACCACATCCAAAAGCCAACAACGCTCCAATATAATGAATTATGACAAAATTCATTTCCTGCAAATTTGTCCAGTTATTTTATTTTTTTTACAACTTGATTTATTAATTGCTTAGAGAGAAAGAAAGCTGTAACAATGATGCCAGAAATGATATCATGTAATAGATTTAACACTGTACGAAATATTTTGCATGATAATTAAAATCAGAAGTAATCAATGATATTAATTGTCGGAACTATCTCGACTACTGATCATGATGATTGAAATTATCATATAATAAATCACTGTAGAGTTGAAATTTATGATAACATTAACCAAAACGAGTCTAAAGAAAATTACTTATAAAGATTTAATTCAGTTTTATCTAATCAAATTAATAATTAAAAGTATTATTTTACTTGGAAATTGCCGATTAAACTGACACCAAATGCTGAAAAATATCCAAACCATAAGTATATCGTGCAATAATTCCGCCAATTTCCATCTTTCTACAAAACATTTTTAGAATTCGTTTTTAATTATATGACTGAAAGTTTCGATTTATTAACAAAACATATGTAGCTTTTTCAATTATTATTTGTGATAGATTAAATATCAAATTCGATAATAGGATGAAATTCGAAAATGGAGTCACTATTTAAGCCATCAAAATGTCACTAATTTAAATCATGACGGGTCGCTAGAAATTTCAAAATTTTCAATTTAAAGACGTTTTTTTAAAAAAAAGATTTTTGCAAAAGAAATTCAAATCTTTTAATTTAAAAAGACTGGATAAATACTGCTTTACGACATGGCAGGATATTTAGGTTAAGCAAATTTATAAACAGAAAATAATAAAACAAAGAAAAGCATTTAAAAAATCAAATATTTGTATAAATTGTGGAATCAAAAATTCGTTAAAAAAATGATAATAAATTAAAAATAAAATTTACATTATTAAAATTCATGAATATATTATTTCATCATCTGATAATAAATTACATATCATTTCAAAATATCATTTCACCATTGATAATCATTACATGTCATTTCAAAATATCATTTTATCTTCTGTTAATTATTACAAGCAAATAACACCTGTTTTAAATGATGCCAATAATATTCAATAAGTTGTCGATGCCTTAAATATGCAGTTATTGCGACTGAAAAATAAAATTTTTGATGAATAAAGAATGACACTGATAGGAACAACTTCTGCTTTTATCAGTGTCAATAATTAATTTCTAAAACTTCCATTTCTCTAAGCAAATTTCGCATTGCAAAAAGGTATTAAATATTTCTATAATTGGAATTGAAAAATTTTAATTACAGGAAGATTTAAAAAAGAAGCGAAATTGTTTGCATAGTCCAAAAGTTATTTAATTTTTTAATTTTAATCGTATTTAAAATTCACATTAAGCCATTTCTTTAATTTCAGCACAAATCAATTTCAAACTATTTAATTGTCGTATAAAATTAATCAAACTTCCTGCAAAAGTAAAGAGCAGAAGAAGAAAAACTTGCAGAAAACAGCGGACAAATTGAGCAGTTGTCCGAAAATACAACTTTCTGGAGGTAATGTACCGCTGTCACTGAAATTAGATCGTTTCTTTATTTACAGTGAAACACCAATGAAATGATTAAATTGAATAAAAATGAACGATATTTCAAATACTCAAATATGACTAAATTAAATTTTGAATTCACTAACGGAATATTTTGCCAATAAAATCTTAAAATTAAATTTATTGCGACAGTTTAAATGGACTATGCAGAAACTAAACTTTTCATTATATTTGAGCAAAAATATTACATTTAATAAAAACTTGACTTATAAATTAAAATATCTTTCTAAATTAGGATATATCAAAAAATTATTTGTTTAATGATTTTATCAAATGCATTTGTTGATAAACAATAATTTCATCTTATAATAATTGCAAATTATTCGAACCGACAACTGATTAAAAATAAAAATGAAATAAAAGTTTTCAATTCTCAAATTCCAAAATGTGCAATATGTCAAATGTCTGCTTGAGCTATGTAAAATTAAAAGCTGTCAGAATAATGCATAAAATATCTTATTGACATAAGTTATCAAATGTTATAGAAGATTTTTTGTTTTACCAACAGTTATGCTTAATTTATTATTGTATGAATTTATGAAATAAAAAGAAGGAAAAGTTGAAACTCTTTTCAAAAGTTAGTTCAATTTGTTTGAACGATCAAATCCAAAACAATTGTACTGATTTCAGTTGAAGATAATATTTAACGCTGAAATATGTTCGTTACAAATAAATTTTAAATATTAATTTTACCTAATATATGGCCAAAATCCTGTGACATGTTTTTTTGAAACAGCTATACAATAACTGCAAGAAAAGATTAATCAACATTGTTTAACATGTGTTGAACAAAAACATAATTTATCAAGATCTACCAGTAACAATATTAGGCACTTTTATTTGCAAACTTGATTGCTCTGATTCATCAACCTATTTCACATCATCTCTTCACTATGAACAAATGTTGTCATAAGACCTTGACAATATTTGTTGTGGAAAGAACTATAACGATGAGAAAGATGAGAAAGACTAGAATAACTTCAGTATTCCAAAACCCGATTCCGGATTACGAAAGTTCAAAATAATTATGCTATTCTAAAATTTCAGAAATTTCATAAAATGAATACAGTAAGAGTTGACTGAAACAGTTAAAAGTAAAATTATGCATTACAAATTTCATAACAATATTACAAGCAATGTTGAATGTTGTAATTCTAAATATAACATATCAATTACTTTAAATCACTTCTGAAATTTAAATGTTGACAACTGAAAATTGTTTGTAATATAAAAATTGATTAAACTCTTAGTTGTATAAATTCAAATTGCGAATGAATGAATGATAAATGATAACTTACGATGTGATAAAAGCAGAAATGCTTAAGAAAGATGTGAGAAGTGGAATAATCCAAACTTTTTTCAATACCATTTTTCTTTATGCTTCATTTCTTTTCCTTAATTTAAATTCATTAATATTTATTCATTTCTTCTCGTCCCAACAATATCTAAATGACAACCAATTAAAAATTAATAATCAAATAAATTTTGCAAAAAAAAAATGATTGAGAAAGGGAAAAGGGAAAGTAGCTAACTTAAAAACTTGAAAATCTTCCACAAATTCGTGTGTATGTATGTGTGTATGTATATGTATGTATATGCATGTGCATGTATGTATGTTCATGTGTGTATATATATGTGTGTGTGTGTACGTATGTGTATGTATATGTGCGTGTATGTATATGTATGTGTACGTATGTGTATTCTGTTGGTTATTGCTTATTTCTGTGTGTGTATGCCTTATTGCTTATCTATTTCTGTCTTATTATTCATTTATCAAATTAAAACTTCGATTACGAAAAAGAGAAATGAGACAATAAAATGATAATATTAAATAATACAAAAGGTATTATTTGGTAAAGAATCGATTATTCGATTATTATTATATAAATTGGAAATGAAATTTGGTAACAATTTTCCTACAAGAAAATAATAATTTTCATTTATTTCAAATATATCTTTCAATTAAAATTTTATAGTTTCAATTTGTGCAATATTAAATCATTCTATCTCATAAAATCGTAATGAATCTTAAATTGAATAATGATAAAATTAATTAATTCATTTTTATAGACAATTCTTTTAATATTTATCAGGCAGCACTAAATTTACAGATTATTCTTTCAATAGTTATTAGTCATTACTAATAATCACTATAGATATATATCAGAAAATTGAAATATGAAATAAACTTGCTAGAATTAAATTAGCTTAGCAAGATATTAAGATAGCATTATCACCTTTTGATTATAAAAGTCAATAATGATAACAGAAATAGAAAATAGAAAATTATCTGAACAGCGTTTGTTACAATTACAGTAATTATTTCAAACTTTATTTTTATAATATATTGAGGTATGACTTTGTCAAAAAAATCATTGCCAGTTTTGCCACTTATTTGTCATTTTGAATCTTTGAAATATTTTAGAATAGAAATCTTCCTTATTCATAGTTCTTCTATTTGTCCATCTTATTTACAGCTCCAAATAGGTTGAACTAAAACTTAACTTTGAAAAATTTCGTATATTTATAACAATGTTAAGGACGAATATTGAAGTGATTTGCAAAACAAACAAATATTTTTGCAGTAAACTGCTAACTATTTGATTAGTTATAATAAGACTGTAAATGGGAATAACTTCCAATAGTTCTGGAAAATTCATCCCGGAATTTATTGTCAGGTTAAGATAAGCTCATGGACAAATACATTAAATTAATTAGGCTATTTGACATCATCAGAAATATCGCTGATATTTTTTCCATAAAGGAATGAAATGATAGTTTGAAAATGGAAGCAAAGCTTTGGATGACTAAGTAAATGAAAGAATGAAATAAAATGAGAGGAAAATAATTTTAATATTTAATAAAAACGGAAAATGTTATCAGGAAAATGGCTTCTTTTTATGATAATTTATAGCATAAGAAAATGTATTAAATAAAAATAAAATTGAAATAATTGTGCGATATGAATTAATCGTAATAGAAATTCAATGAATAATAAATTATAAAAAGCACAGTATTTTAAAATTTCATATTAACTATATCATATAATAGTAATAGAATGGTATGTGATATGTTCCTCCTAACTTAATTTAATAAAATCAAATATTAAATATTTTGCGGTGCATATAAATGATTTAAATTAAAATTAAAATAATCTTCCAACGTTTATTTTTCGTCGTAAATCGCTGAAAAATGTTGCTGAAACAAAATAAAAAACAATAATTTACGAAATGGGAGTTTTCCTTTCGTTAACATTATCATCAACCACATTGATAACTATGTAACAAATGAATAGTTTGTTGTTTCGGTATTGATGATAACATGCTGATAACAAAGTGCAGTGTTGCAAAATCAATATTGAATGCATTTATAGCAGAGAATATCATTAAAATTATATTTGAAATAAGAGGTTTTAAAAGTTCGAAACTTCTAGCTTTTATTTATCAATGAAACTTATCAAAATAGAAATATTAAAATACAAACATTTTAATGATAATTTCTTTTCTAATTAAATAGTAATAATAGAAATATTCTTCAAATGAATTAATTAATTTTCATCGCTTTTTTTTGTTTTACAACAAATTTTTGTTGCAAAAGCGAAAAGAAAGAAAAGAAAGGAAATTTTCAATGAGAAATATTTCATTTTAGATTTTACTAATTAATTAATTACAGAAAAATCTTAACAGAATCGAATTTTTAAATGGAAAATCAAATTTATTTTAGTAAAAAATATGCGAAAGAATTCATTTTATCAATAAGTTTATAATATATCGCCGAAAGTATCGAAATGAAATTAAAAGGATATCATTGGCGAATTTTAAAGTTCCAATATGTATTAATAATTCGATAATAGAATTCCAAAACTTAAGTATTGTGAATATGAACGGAAAAAAACAATCGAACAACATGAACATCGAATAGAATAAATGATGACATTTGAAAGCGCAGAATTCGTATTATGCATTTATTCGAATTGGTAATTCGAATTGATTATGATAAGTGTTTTGTGCATTTATTCGAAATGGTTATAATAAGTGTTCGGATATTTCCAAATGTTTGTTATATCTTGTCTGCTTCATTTTCACCATTTAGAAAAATGCGTCCATTTCAAAAGAAATCATTCAACTTGAAATAGTTGAATAAATGCTTATTTGGAATGAAGAAGTATTAATTTTAAAAATGAAATATATTTTAGATAACAATTACATTGATAGCAATTTCAGAGGAAAATGATATAGAAATTAGCTCAATAAAACAATGGAATGAATGAAATAATTACTTATCTACTTTATTTAAAAAAAAAGTAATAATTATAGAAATATAATAAAAAATTAGAAAAATATTTAAAAATAGATCATAATATTCATTGATCTTAGCGAAAAAAGCCAATTTTGAGTCTATACATTCTTTTAAAATAGCATAATTAAGCCTAAGGTATAATTAATATAGAATAAGTAATGAATGTGTAATATGAATTCCGTTGAAATTGAAGGAAAATTGAAAAAGCATTTTAAAAGTTAATTTCAAATCGTAAATAAATGGATATAGAAAATCAGAAAACGAAATGCTTCGCAAATTTTGCTTTCTCATTTATTCCATCAAATGTTTTAAACTTTTTTAAAAAATAGAAAAAAGGAAAATGATCAGTTTTCTATTTCTTACAGTAATTTGAAAGTAATTAAATAATGCATTAATGAGATTTGAAATTGATTTTTTAAATCTACTATAATTACAACAGATTTTAAAGGTCGATTTCAAATTTCACTAATACATTATCTTACATTATATTATTGCTGTTTATCAAATGATAACGATAATCAATGTTTGCTGATGGAATTTTAAATTTTACAATTAATTACGAGAGATTTGAGTAAATGAAGAGAAACTTAAGTAAAACTGATGAATTATAAAATTTGTTTGCAGTTACAAAAATAATTAAAACGATTAGAAAAAAATTCATTTAAATGAAACTCTTCCTTTTTCCAATTTTCCCAATTTTAGTCGAAAATTCAGAATTGACGAAATGTTTCGCCGCTAGCAATGATTCATTTCCTAAAATAAAATTAATTTAAAACATATTTGAATTCATTCATAGCTATAAGAAATAAATTCAGCAATGATTTATTTAATAAACTCAATTGATCAGATAAAAAAAGGAAAAGATGAATAAAAATACGTGGAAATCCACTTGGTATATATTATATTAGAATATAGTTTATAAATTTTAAAATTTAAAGAGAAAAAAATACTGCATTTTAGTTTCCGTTTATTTGTAACATCTAAACCAAGAAGTTCGCGAACTGTCAACGATCGATTTCCAGAATTTCGCTTCAAAATTATGGTACTTGGTGTGCACACTTCTACTTTTCTATTCCTTTCAGATTTTACTGGAAAATTATGCATTGTATCGGTGGGAGAGTATTTTGATACTGAATAATCATATATATATATATATATATATATATTATAGTCATACTTTTTCTATATACGAAAAATATTTTAGTAAAATATTTAACTTTAATATTTTTTGATTATCAATAGTTGTTGAAACAAAAACAGAAAAGAGAAATAAACATCTCTTAAACGAGATAAAACTTGAGAATATTACACCTGTGGAATTAGCAATAGATGACGCAATGCCGATATTGTTAAAATTAGCTGACTTCATTGTCTTTAGCAAAGTTTCATCATTTCCTTCACATTTAGCGTTTTCAATCATATTCTTCAAAATATGATTTGTTGATTTGATAGAAGATGACAGCGGTAATAATGATTGATCATTGTTTGCTGCAGTAGTTGTAGAAACTGAGATTGAAATTGTTTCTGCTTGAGATAATGAAGGAAGATGTAATCCTGTGACATCAGTAGTTGATGAAACAATTGGTAATATCCCTGAATAATGTGCTGATGATTCGCTCGATGAACTAAAAATAACTGTAGGATAATTATTTAATAATATGACATATTTTATGTGGAAACAAAAAGTTTTAATATAATTGAGTTAAATGAGAAAGAAAAAAGATAATTTAAATTAGTTAAAAATAAACAAGTAAGTAAACAAGTAATAACTAACATATTACGTAGCTTTTTCAGTAATTCATCACCTTTCATTGTCATTACTTCTCGTTCTTCCTTTGATAGTTCGGTATGCTTGTAATTTAAATGTGCAATTAATCTATAATATTATAACATAATATATTTGCAAACGAATATTTAAGTGGTAAAATTAAATTTAACTCATACTTCATTATAAGATCAATTATTTGATCGAAATATTATACTTAAATATCCGTACATTACTTAATTCAAATAATTAAATCAAACAATTGAATAATCGAATACTTAAATGAAACAATTAAATAATCACACATTGAATGATAAGCAATATTAAATATGATAAAGAACAAAATGATAAGATGGCGATTTTCTTGCAGATTGCTTCATAAGAATGTTAATTAAATTTAAAATTAAAGAAATAAAATGAAATCTGCTAATCAGATGATTAGTTGCATCAATTATATCAAAAAGGATATGTAAATAAATGGATGTTATCATTAGTTATCTTATCATGCTAAACTATGTTATAATGAATTCTTTTTAAGCAATTAAAGACATTGAATAATTATTATAATATTTCTTATTACCAAATCACATAGTTAATATTAATGAAAGCCGAAGAATTAAAAAGTTCCAATAATTATTATATATCTTCCTTTTTAATATATAGTAACAATTAGTATATTTAGTTAGTGCAATATAAAATTGAAATAATTAAAAAGTACTTAAAATAATATAATATATTCTAACAGCAAAAAAATGTATTCCAATACGAATTCTATACAATTTACTGATAAAAGCATACTTTCGCTTTTCTGAATATGAATCCAAGCAACCATCAATTGTACATCGATATGGATTATTAGCTCGTTTATGTTCAATAGTATGACGTGTTAACATACAACGATTTTTAAATCTTAATTAAATATTAACTAAATTTAAATAATTCATTCCATATTTGTAATAAATATTATAGTAATTCAATCAATATTACTATCGTTTTTGACAGCTATTTCTTTTCTCTTTTTTTGTTATTTTCAAGAAAATTAGCAATAATTAAATAATAATTATTAGAAATATGATAAAAGAATTACTTTTGCCCACATTTTTGACAAGTTAATGCCATCATTTTCTCAAAATTTGACATATGACGTCGACGTGCATTCTCAGCAACTAATATCGGCACGTTATTTGACGTACAATCTTTTGTTTCATCCAACAAAGTTTGCTTAAAATTGAAAATCCTTCTTTTTGTCAGATACGTAAGATATGATTTAAACGATATTATGAATTGAAAAATTTACATTTGTTGGAAAATTAGAAATTCCTTGTGATAGACTATCCGTAAGTTGCGCATGATTTTGAAGATTAGCAGTATCATTATCTTCTTGTTCAACATTTTCACTATTTATGGTAGTGGGATATTTCGTTTTCGTTGTTATAGTATTTGAAGTAATTTCCGTTGAAAACAAATTGTCGTCCTTAATAGGGCGTAATAGTAGATTATTATAAGTAATATAAAATAAGCAAAACTGAAGCAAAGTTTAAGTAAATAAAAGCAAAATTTTTAGGCAAATCAAAAAGTTCATTTTTTTATTTGTTCTTCTAAGTATAATTCTGAAACTATCGTTTGATGATAAATTGAATTTTAAATGAAAATCGGACAAGAAAGTAATTTAAACCTCAATTGAAACTTTTCCGGATTTAGCGGTAGTTGTTGCATCATCATTCCATACTTCTTCCTAAAATTCAAAATTCTTGCAAAAGAAAAAGCAAAGTTAAAAAAATTATTTCATTTAGTTATTTTTCTTATTTTCAAACCTCATATTCCAAATCACGATAACAGTTGATACTTTTCGGTGAGCATAACGATGTGTCAGAATTCGATGATGTATTATCATTTATCTTCCAGTAAACATCAACATCTTGACGTGGAAAAGCTATAAATTATTGATTTGATAAAAACTTTTCGAAATATATTTCTCAAAAAAGAAAAGTTATTAAATGAACGAAAATATATTTTTAATTTCTTTTAATTGAATCATACAAAAAATATAATTTTCATTTAAGCCATAGAGCTTTAAGCCATAGATATTTGTCACTTTAATCTTAATTCCAAAAATTAATCCAAAAATCTTACCGTATGTAACAATTACGACCTTTTTCTTTTCTACGGAAACAATACATGAACGAAAATGGTTATTAAGCATTTGTGATATATCTTCATTTGAATGTGAACTTTTTAAATGAATTATGAAGCTAAAAAAAATTAGAACTCAAAAATCGATAATTATTTGAAAAATTCTTTCAAATGAAAAAAAATTGTTATCTTTTAAATCAAAGTTATCAGAAAAATTATCATTGCATTTGTAAATTAAATTAATAACTAACCTTTGTAATGTAAATAAATATGCATCACAAAATGAACATTTAAATGATAAAACATGCGATGTTACATCCTACAAATATTAGCTTATTATTTTTATTAGCATTTTAGAAATCAGCGACTAAATTTAATTCTATAATTGCTAACAATTTTACTTCGATCAAAAATGATTTTATGCTAAATTTCTTCCTTATCAAATTTTCTTCAAAAAAATAATCCATATGAGAATTGTTTGCAAAATACCTTATAAAGTGATGCATTCAATGAAGCCGGTTTAATCATTTCCTTACTTTTCATTCCTGTAAATCTTACATTTGTTTCTGTTGAATGCGACGAAGATGATGAAACCGGATCTCTTTTACATTTTAACGTTTTATTACTGTACTGAAATGGTAAGCATTGGTATTATTTCCTTTTCTTGTAATACGTAAAATTTATATTAGAGCATACTATAACGAAAATGTTTTCAATTTATTCAGTGATATGGTATCAACTTTTACGATAGTTTAAACTAACAAATACCTTTCGCAGTTTCATCATCCATTTCATATTATTTGTATGCCTAAATAAAAAAAGAACAAAGCATGTTGCAATAAATTTCAACGAAGCAAAGTTACATTTTAGTTTAAACACAATTAATTTGCAGTTGTATCAAATTACAATTGCATATTAGCCTGAAGATGTAAATTTTTACAAATAGTACTGAAAATATTTTACAAAAATTTGAAATATTTTACTTTGTATTAAGCGATGATTCATCTTCTTCAACATCCATTAATCATTGAATATATTAATCATGCATGTTAACCTGATGGAGGTAAATTTTTTTGATCAAATGATAAATAAGAAATTAGAGAAAGGAAGAGTTAGAAAGAAAGAAAAGAAGAATTTTTGAAGAATAAATTAAATTGTTTTGAAAAATAAATTAAATTAAATTCGATAGATTGAAATTAAAGTAATTAATAAAAACATAAGCTAAGCATTCCTCTAATACATTTGACAATTTTGAAAAAACTGCAAAAATTTAATCAAAAATTTCATCGTTTATGGATTGTCAAAACAAATTTAAAACCAACCTTTCTTAATATTATAATTGAATTCGATTCATTTATGCCATCAACAGAATGGTTTATTTGCTTCATTTATGAATGAGTTCCATGAAAAATTATTTAAAATAAAATTTCGAAAATTATTGTACAATAATTAGTACAAATTAATTTCATGTAGTTATTACGAATAAGAAATAATGAATAAAGTTAACCAAAAATTACTGCGATAGTTGTTGATATCATCTATAAGAATAAATAATATTACAGTAGTAATACTAAAGTGATATATTGATAATACGAAGAATCATTCAAAAGGCATTACAATTTCATAAAAGGATTCATGGAATCCGAATTAAGAAAATTTCTTTCATTTTAAAATAAGCTTTAATTTAATGTAGCATGCTATCAATAAAACTTAGCGATATTTTGTTTCTTGTCTAATCATGAATGATAAATCAATAGAACTTAATGATATTTTATTTCTTATTTGATTTATGAATGATAAATGATAATTAAAGCATTAGAATACTTTTTAGTAACATAACAGTATTTAATGGAATTTTTTAACGACTAACTTTAATGATTGTAAACAGAATGAATACGATGATGACGACAATAATGCAAGGCGACAATAGATCATTTTATAAAGTACTGTCGGATATATATAATAGAGAAATTAAAGGCAAATTCGTTAAATCGGTTATTGATAACAAATAATTATCAATCAGTAAGACAAGCATTTCTTTAGATTGAATAGTTGTATTCATTGATAATATAATACTTTTATGGGTTTATTATTGAAAGGTTGAAAAATCTTACAGAATTAACGATATTATTGCACATAAGCTTACTAAAGTTAAGTATAAACCGCGTAAGATAAAGATAATAATAACTGATAAGATAATAAATAACAATGGTTATGATTATAATTTGAAATTGCAAATATAAATAACAATGATTATGATTATAATTTGAAATTGCAAATTACAACGATTTACTTGGCTTACTTTGTACGTTATTTAATTAATAATTACCTTACGATAATGAAATTTTCTTTTCATTTTCACAATTCAGAAAGATAATATTAATCAAAAAAATAAGCAAAATAAACAAATGAATTCATTTTTCTTTTCTTTTAGAATAATTGAGATTAATACATTTATTCTTTATCGGCTTCCGCTAAGCGATTAACATTTCTCAAATCGAAATATTCATTTCAATAATTTTGGTATATACAATTCTTAAGTGTCATAACTGTTAGCAATGATACACATAGCATTTCAATAATAATAATGGGAAAAAGAAATATCATTCCCATAGAATTAGCAAAAGCAACATTAAAAAGGTTTTGCTATTAAAAATTATAACTAAATCAACAAATAAGTTAAGTTTAGTGTCTGATATCATTATTATCTCTTCTAATTAATTAATTAAAAATAGACAATAATGATATCAATTATTGATTAATTTAGATTTCAGGAAAATTTTGAAACAAAAAAAGGAGAAAAAACAGAAGAAAAAAGGGTTGTAATTGACTTTGGATAAGAAATGATAGAAACATTCACGTTAATCTTTCTCACTTCTTCTACTGCCTTTTCATTCCGTCCATACATTTTCCTGATGCATCATCGGCTATTTACATATTCAATATATTTACATTTCAACATGAGCACATACACACACACACACACACACACACACACACACACACACACACACGCGCACATACATACACATACTCATACGCGTACACGTACGCACACATATACATACATATGCACGTATATATAAATACAAAAAGAAATACACATACATACACATTACAGGCAGATTCATATAGAGGTATGATTGATACACACATCTCAACATATATATCTATCTATGTATCCACCCTTTCGACAATTCTCATACCTCAATGGTCGGTCAAAAATGAGCATAATTTGCATTGCGATGGAGGATGGTTGATAGAGAAGGAATCGATAAAAAAATTTGCATAAGCTAAAAACGCTTTGCCAAAAGCTTTCCATACTATTTCATCAACTATTTGGTAATAATGAAATATGTTCTCCGCATTTTCCCTCTGATGCAATAATCAATATCACATGACTTCATTTCATTTATATTTCTTGTATACCGGAATAATTATTCTCTTTTGTATCCGGAATGATAACATTTCGGTATCGGATATATTTCATTCATTCTGTTTTGTTATCAGAACTATAGTAATCCAATTAATTTCTATTGAATGCTAGAATTTAAAAGAAGAAAGGAAAAAGTGAAAATAGAATTTGATGAAATGACTATTTTCATTTCAAACTACCTGTCTATTATTTCGAAGCATTCATTTTTTTGTTTTAAAATTTCCTTACCTTTCAACTTTCTTTTAATCATTTAAATATATAATTGTTGAATAGAAGAAAAAAAGAGCGAAATTTTAATCGGAAAATTGTTTACAGTAATAATTCATTAATTGATCGAATTAAAAAAAGGACAGAACAAAAGAATAAAATAATTTAAAGCTTATGTTAACATGGCTTATTAGCATATTTCCAATAGAATTATCACATTATAATACATAAATAAACAAGTAAACAATAAATATCCAAAGGAAAATTGATATTTATCAAATGTAATAGTAAAAATTACACTAAAATTTTATGTAATTTTTCTGTATAAGTATTTATTAATAATATTTCCTGACAACATCATATCCACTCTGTATCAATTCAAAAATCATTTTATTTTTTCAATAATTCATTAGAATATTTGACTAATAGGTTCTTCTTAAATTAATAATCGATATTTAAATCATTTCACTGTTCAACATTTGCTATATTTTTCCTTTTTTTATAATTTGTTTTTGTTTTTGCTAAAAAAATCAAAAAATAAATATACAATATGAACTGCTGAAAACTTTCATTGATGAATAATATATTTCCAACTTCAAATATTTCAGTTATCCTCTTCGAAATAATCCTTCAGGCCATAACGTAAGTTGGGGGCCATTAAACCATGGAACAAATATACCGTTGAAAGTACTACCAAAAAAATTCGGCTTCAGTGGAATTAACGGCGGCATCGTATCTAGATTGTGTCGCGGAATCTTGTTAAAGCCTAAAGTTGGACGAACAGTTTCCGATGTTGACGAAATTATAGTCGTCGTCGTCATAATAGTAGTAGTAATAGTAGTTGTAGTAGTAGTAGTAGTGGTAGTAGTAATAGTAGTTGTAGCAATAGTTGAAACAGTACTAGTCACAATTGTAGAAATAGTATTGCTAACTGTAGTTGATGATAATAAAAATGATGAACGATTCGCAGTTGCATGGCCTGAAGTTTTTGATGCTATAGGCGATGCAAAACTCAATATTATAGGATTTGAATTATTACCAAACTCAAGTAGTGAAGGATTTTCTGTTGAAGATGGTAAATATGATGGTAATTGGGTGGCGTGCGAAAATTTATGACCTGATATTAGTGTAACTGATACCGGATTGAAGAACTGATGTGTTATTGGCACTGGTTTCGATCTATTGAAATTGGTTAACTTATTGATTTCTTTATCAAAATTAATTTTTGAACGAGCCGTATATCGTGTAATCGAAAATGGTTGATATGCTTCTGTTACTGAAATATTTGATATTTCTTTCTTACTACTTGGTGATAGTATTGTTACGAGCAATTGAAATTTTGCACTTGTTGTTGGTTGAAGTTGAAATAATTTCTGTTCCTTGTCCATCAAAGTTTCATTTTTTATTCCATGATCGTAGTTTGTCGATTTTTGAAGAATTTTTCCGATCTCATCGCATCTCTCATTAATGTTTATCAACGCATTTGAGCATTTTGACTTCTCGTTAGATTCATTTGCTACAAATAAATTTCCATTTCTTGTGTTTCCACTTTTTGCCGATGGAAACAATTGCCCATTCTGGCTAGACTCTATGATACGTTCCTCATTCAGAAATAATTCATGATCTGACTCAAAAGAAAACTTCACCGGAAGCTTTGTTGAATTTGTTACATTATCGCCATCTTGATTCCAACGACTACTTTTCAAATTCTCGTTTTTCAGCGCAGGTGCTGCAGCGTTAGCTTGCAAGCGTGACACTAACATTGGATTCATAATACTTTCTGTCCGTGGAAAAACAATATAATTTGGCTCAGTTGCTGCATTATTATACATATTACGCTTAGACCAAAAGCCATTAGCAAATTGATGTGATCGAAAATTATCATCTTTAGAATTGTCTGTTAATGTCGCCTTATCGAATTGTTGCATAGCATTAGTGTCATATTTAGAGATGTTGGAATTCATATGCTGCACAAATTCCTTTACTTTTCTAATTTCCCTTCTTAAACCATCAATATCTTTTCTGACTTTCAGAATTTGATTAAAAATTTCTGTGTTACTACGAAACAATTGTTCTCTCGACTGACCAGTGTATGTTCCGGAATGAAATTTATTTTTATCAATAAAAAAATTTGAAAATTTTTTATTGCTTTGCAACCTTTCCTGTATCTCAGTTGATTCTACCTTTGTTACTTTGCTAGAATCATTGTCAGTAAGATCGATAATAACGCCTCCGACATATCCATTGTGACGATATTGTTGTTCTTGTGTTAGCATTGAAATAGGTCTTTTATTAATTACCGTTGTATGGATATTATCAGTGTTGTTAACATTCATTCTAATATGAATATCCGTCATTGCTTCATCTGAAATATTCTCAGTTCATTTTTTTATAATCACTTTTACTTATTTTGAAGAAGTGAAAATTCGATAAGTTCAATTTAACTCTATTATATCTATTTCTTTTTATTTCTAATTCACTCATAATTGCCCATCTATAACTCAAATAAGTTACTCTCACAATACCGTTTATTAGCTTATTCTATTTTACAGGTTTCTCCGGAATACTAAAGCCCTTACCCTAACGTAACCTAAGACATAATAATGGATGCTTGAGGTGAACCAAATTTATCCGACACATGTATGATCGGTTAGGTATTTGTTGGCTAAACTTAATCATCCGTTAATATTTATCACGTCATTCTTCTACAAATTCCAATTTTCTGTCACTTTCCTGATCACAATAATATGACTAAAATATTTGAACGCAAAAAAAATTTCACAGCAATAAAAATAAAAATATTATAGATATACATATGAAATAAACAAACCATGCCGGGTAACAATGGGTGTTCCGTTAATATCATCTCGGATTATATATTGACCTGTTTTTCTGTCATAAAACAGCGATCGTTGAGCAGGTCGAATATCTCGAAATGTTTTGAAACGGTTTTTATAAAAAATCTTGCTTGGAATAGGATATAATTGCATTTTGCTCCGCTCACCCATATCTTGACGTTGTTGTTGTGTTTGAGGCAAAGGAGGAATTTCATCATAAATTTGGTCAGCCAACAAATGCGCATTTGTATTCCAAGCATAATCCGAGAAAAATATTGTACGTGGGAAAAAATATTGTCCAATTGTTATTTGACGATTAATAGCTACAATGCAAATTTATTAACATCGCATTATGCGATAAATGAAATTTTGTTTGGAACAGTAATTCAACATTTGAAATTTCGAATCATTCAAAATTGAACTGATTTATTTAAACTCATAAAGTGCGTTTGTAGTTAGAATGATTTTTGAGTGAAAAAATCGTTTTATTTAACGAACCTTCCAAAAAATTAACATTGATAGCAATGATAAGTATGAGATGATAATTCGCGAACATTGAAAATTTCTGAAAAAAAATATGATTTGAACAAAAAATCTCTTCCATTACCGAATATGAACTCCAAAAAGAAATCGTTCAGTCTTTATCGAATTGATTATAATAGCTAATATTATTAAAAATTTGGTTCCCTAATTGTATGAATATTTCTGAGAGAGTTTGAACATAATTATTATATCAGAATCATCTTATCGTTAGAAATTGCTATATCAATTAAAGCAATCGCTAGCAAAGTATACGAAACGATTAAATTAACAGGTTTATTAATTTGTTTACTATAATAACATTATACGAGCAGTTAAAACAAATAGAAATAATAATAGATGAGATTGTTTCAACTTTCAGAAATAAATAAGTCATGCAAAAATAAAATAAATCTCGGGGAATATTATCCGATAACAGCTTTTAAAGCTTTCAGAAATCCTTCTAATGCCTTGTTTAAACTTTTTAAACTTATTTTGATATAATTGATAAATTACTCAATATTTATCATTCTCTAATTATATTATGGATATCATTAAAACAGGTTTTAGTAAAAATTCCTAGTTATTTTTTATCTTTTTCTCCGATGTTTAAATGGCTTTACCGGATTTACGTTATTCACTAAATAACGATTATCGCATTTTCATGTTAAACACTATTTATGATAGACTAATATTACAATCATTTATTACTATTTTTCATTTTAGAATACGAATTATTTTTGATAGAATTTTAAAACAGAATTCATATTTAACTATGAATTGATATTGTGATATTTAGAAGAAATGTTGTCGTTATATAAAGTTAACAAAGATTATACTAAATATTTAGATATTTTTAAATATTTAAAATATTAGAAACGTTTTTCCAGTTATTCAAGTAATACGATTTTATTGCCAGAATGTAAACGAACGAAACTGATATGGCCACAGTTTAAAAGAAAAAACTATTCGAAATTCTAATTATTCTAACTTATATTATTTATTAAAAATTTGTCCTCTAAATTCAACATCAATTTAAATTATTCCATTGTTTTCTGAATTTCTTAATGTTGTAATGTGCTTAATTATTACTTTTGTTTCTGTATATCGGTGTCATATTTTCATTTAAATTTGATCAAGTATCAGTAATAACGGAAAAGTGATAAAAGATCACATTTTGATAAGTATATTAAAAGAAATTTTGATGATGTGAATCGCAATAGCACAACAAAATACAACCACGAATAAATGGGCTAGAAAGAGAAATTGAAATTTGTTTAAAATTTGAAAGATTCAAACATTTGGATACAGTCTCCCTTCTGCTTAATAAATTATTCTAAAGTGCTGTAGCGAAAAGGTTATTGCATATTTCCCATGTTGTTGAACGACTCCTGCTATTTTCAATTAGTATTCTAATGATACGATATATATACGATTACCATATTTGAGTAATTTAATTTACCATTTTACAATTTCTGTATCATTCTTCATTTATCATTCTTTCATTTAACTTATCACAATTGATTAATTACTTACTTGAAAAGAAATAATAAGAATTTTACGTTAAAATAAATATGGATTGTTAATTTAAAATTTATCCCAACAATAGAAAATTATTGTTGACGAAAATTAACAAATAAACAAACGTAAGAAATGTAATATATAGAAAACAAAAATTATTGATGCATAATTCCATTCAGAGAAGATCGAAGAGAGAAGGGAAAGATTCGAATAAGGAAATGATTGAAATCATTACATCTCAACTACTATCATTTATAATTCCACGGTTCATTTACGATTCCGTTAAGGAATGAAATGAATTAAATCATTTCTAATCCTTCGTCATTGTTGTCATATTTTTTTCTTCCATTTAAAATAATTAAAAACAAAACGAAAAAGAGGCTCATATTTACATATGCATTGATAAAAGAGTCCTTTTTTATCATTAAAAATAATACTAAAGAAGAATATAACAAAGAAAGAGAGCTATCAATAAGGAAAGAGGAATGAATTGCTGGCAGTAAATATAAATAATTGCTGTTTATTCTTAAAATTAGAAAAGAAAGTTGTAGTAAAGAAAAAAAACATCCAACAATATTTAGCCATAAGATATTGGGTTAAAATTATTTGTTCTAAATGAAAAAGATATCGATGAGAAGAGAGAAATGAATCGCTGGCAGTAATTAGAATTAATAAAAAGGAAATATTTAAATGATAGGAATAGGAATTGATTGAATGGAAGAAGTAAATTCACAATTAATTACATTTTTAAAATAAATCACAGAAAGGAAGTAAAAAATTATTCCTTTTTAATTCTTATTGTATATTTTAAAATTTTTAATTTCAGTTATTTTTCTATTCCTTTTTCTTTTCCCGCAAATTTTCGGCTAAATATTTTCATCAAAAATATCGCCGATTATTTGGTGACATCTGACATCACTCATAAAAATGAAATGAATTTCATTGATTCACAAGGACATCTGTTTGTAATAATTTTCATGCTTTATTAAATTTCCGTCCCTTTTTTCTTTTCCTCTCCCTCTCTCATCATTTCAATTAAATTTCGTAAATTTTATGAAAATAGTATATAAGTAAAATCATTTGATGTTTTATCATAGAGCGAATAAAATATTCCGTTCAATTTTTAGCAGATTGCTTAAAATAAGAAAATTGCTGTAATAACCAGATTTATTGATAAATCTTAATTTTTTGAATAATTTAAAAGTTTCCAAAGAATGCTTCGAAAAGAAATCATTTTAGGAATTAAATTTAATTTTTAATTTTTAAATGTATTTCTTGACATAATACATTAGAATAAAATACCAATCAGAGATTAATTCAATATTGGTTGGTAGCAAACTGAGGTAATGACCAGATTTTTTACTTCGTCCGATAAAATGATCAAATATAAATGTAATAATATATTGTTAGTTAGTGATAACAAAAGACATGGGCTTTTATTGATAGAAAATGGGAAATGATTAGAGTTAAGTATAAAAACCTAAGCTTTAAATATCACAGTTTTAATTTGCATAAAACAGCCATACATTTGGTATTACTATTTATTTTCCTACTCTTTACTATAAAGTTGTAAGATTTATTTCAATTTCGATCCAATTTTCTTACCTTAATTAATAGCATTATTATAAATAAAAATTAAGCAAAAAATAAGTGATTCATCTTTTTTTTCATTTCAAAAATGAATTACATTTTATCCTTACAACAGTATGCCAATGTAAGGATCCGTTGCCCTGTCCGAATGATTTCAGTGGCTATGAAAAATGCTTTAAGGTAATTTTTTCTTATAAATTTAATTTTTATATAATATGTGCTATTTGTCTACCTTTTAAACTAAATTAATTAATTAATCCAACAAATATTTTGAAACAAAGATTAAAAATTGCATAAACACGAATGGTACTAATTCTATTTACTAAATACATTTAGGTAAGCGAATCATTCCGTCAAACGGAGGCGTGTGTGAATTGCGGAAGTAACAATACTTTCTCAGCATCTATTAAACCTGCTGATGAAAACGATTTTGTTAAACGTATTTCAACTTTTCATAAACATTTTAATTTTAAATGATTTAGCAGCTTATACTTTGTAAGGTCAATATTAGAAACAGTAAAGAATTGATAAAAAATACGATATGAATTTGAAATGGTAATAGTCGGTAATCCGCCATCTGTTATCATTTCAATTCTTATCGTATTTTTTATTTCCTTTATTTATAATATTAATATATATCATCTACAGTAATTTATTATAATATTAAATTTCAATTCTTTTCACTTTTGATTTATTTATTAAAGAGTAGTTATCGGCGAAGAATGTACCAATGGAATATATCGGTTTACAATTTTTACGATATAATGTCTCACAACGAAATCTTTGTGNTTTATTATAATATTAAATTTCAATTCTTTTCACTTTTGATTTATTTATTAAAGAGTAGTTATCGGCGAAGAATGTACCAATGGAATATATCGGTTTACAAT